ATGCTAGATCGTGATACATCTTCAAAATTAAAAAAAAAAAATTAAAAATCCATTTAATTCTTTCTCAAGGCATACTAAATAATAAATTAATTGGAGCCTCCTAGTAAGTATAAAAAAATACCTGTGTCAGGAGGCACCGCTCTTCCTAATAACATTAAATATTGAGATAAGTCGAGCAAAATTACCTACAATATGACTATATGATTTAGAGTAGGTATGTGTATGTGTGTGTATGGGTATGAGTGTTTGTGTGTGCGTGTGAGTGTGTATGTGTGATTGTAGGTGCTTAAAAGCGTTAGCATATCTATTATTATTATCCAAAGCAGTTGTATACTAAAATTCTAATTCAAGGTTTACATCAAATTAATCCAAAATAAAATTTTAAAACTGATACTAAAACAAAACTATTTTTTATTAAGAGTTTTAGTTTGAATTCTGGTTTTTTAAGCCATGACTTCATTTCATTTGGGATCTTCGTTTTTATAGATTTTATAGACTTTATAGCACACCGCTTAACAATATGCACATTTGAGAAATTTTGACGGCAACTTGAGCCAGCAGATAGTTGGCGATAGTACCTCAAGGCGCCCAAGCAGACAGACACCTTATCTTGTGATTCACATCACCATCGGAGCACTTGTTTTAACGTTTCCATCAATAGTTCACATGCGCAGACATATAATACACAAAATATTACTTTTACATATCAAAGTCCACTTCAAAACATTATTTAAACAATAATTCAGAAGCAGCAATCCGCCGTCGGTCTATTTCTCGGCAATAGAGATGAGTAGCTATTCAAGTAGCTAACTAAATAGCGGCTATTCACAAAATAGCCACGGCTTTGATATTCGTCAACGCCATAACTAACTAACTATTGTCTACTTTGGTTAGAGCCCTTAGAGGCGCTGCAATTATCCGACAAGTTTACGACGCAGCGGGCAGATGCCACAGAGCCACAGAGTACATATTATAATCACTTCACACTACACAACGGGCAATGGGCAACGGCGTGCGCGATCGCCGCAATCTTCGCATTTACCCTTATCTTTTTCACATTCACAATATAGATATTTCCAACGTTAAAGAAAAAAAAAACAACATGCGTAAATGTCGTAGAAGACTCGGTTGGAACGAAGTTCCTTCCGTAGTATATTATTATTATTGATAAACATATTATATTATTGATTAACAAATGCAAATCAATTACCAGCGCTTATTAAAATGAAGAACATTTAAAATAAAATAATATCTCTTTCATGGCAAGATAAGAAAAAATGCGAAGGAGATGGATATTATTTCAACAAGCTTCCTTATGTCTATAAGGAAGCTTGTTGAAATAATATCCAAGGCCGTCTTCACTACGTCAGAAGGGGTCGTAACCGAAATATCTTACACTTTTTCTCGCCTAGCCCCCATGCGCCAAATTCATACCGTCCGAGAAGGAACTTTGTTCCAAAAAAACTTTAAACTTTCTAGTATATGTTTATACACAAAATTAACAAAATAATGTCTTAGTGCTGTATTCTTAAGCGATCCACGCCGACACCAATGAAATTTTAAGTGTTGATTTACCACCTGCTAGGCGGTGAAGTAATACATCGTGAGAAAACCTACATGTCTGAGAAATAAGAAAAAATAATGTTTCAAAGACATGTGAAATTTGCCAACACGCATTAGGGCATCGCGGCGGAAAATACATTGCACTAAAACCCTCTCAAAATGACAGGAGGCCTGTGTCCAGCCTCCTGTCATTTCTGAGACGCATACAGACTGTAACTCAACTATGGAGTGTAGAGTACAAGGAGAACCATCTTATAAGGGGTGAAAGTCGAAAAAGTGTCCTACTATTTACTGAAAATAGAGGTTCCAAAACCTACCACAATAGCGCTGGCGTCTGAAAAACTACGATATGAAGATAGCTGTTGTGAACGGAATGAAGTCAGCTGAATTCAAATATTTAAAAAATTTCATGACTAGAGTAGTTAGTAAAATGCCAGTATACAAAATTTCAACTATTTACGTAGTACAAAACCAAGCGGATTGGTCGGTCCTTGTTTATTTCTCCATCTTGTTCTAATTACTTCTGGCACTTTTTTAAAATTTATCCTATGCTACTGCAGCGCCACCTTTATTGGACACTTTTCATTATATAGAGATGGTCCTCCTTGTACTCTACACTCCATAAACTCAACTTATCAAATTCGTGCACTAAGGTTGGCCAGCCTAATTAAATGACTCAGAATCATAGGCATGCAACTTAGAACATTATTTTACGAACAAAATGATACGTTTTATGTGCTTCCATCTACATTCCGAAGCGCTAGGCTAGACTTATTTTAATCTCACTAGAGGGCACTTATATATTAAGTCTATGCATACGCAATAATCCACGCGCATTACGCAGTTAGTAGCGGTCACTGGTTACGCTTAAATTGTTATTAATATTTATTGAACATTATTTATTTTTAGAAAATGCCATTTTATCTGTGTTTTCAGACAATGAAAAACTGCTAAAATATTATTAGAATACGAAGGTAAATTTCGCCACAATGCACAAGGTTATAGTAATTCAGGTGGATAATCGGTCGGTCCCGAAATCTAAAGACCCCGAATCGCGTCCAGCAGAGATGTGTTTATTTTTTCAAGTTCCTTCTTTTGTAAGCGCCGTCTGTTATGCAAAGCACGACACTAAAGAAAATTAAATTTGAGTCGCGCATCTATCTCCAGCATATATACAGTAATCACAGAGTACCTTTATATAACAGTAATCTATGCTCAGAATATTAACTAAAGCTTAATGGTAAACCTGAGAGCTGAACGTAAACAAAACCAAATACATCTTATATTCCAATGTAAAAGCATATTACAGGAGACTATGACTCCGATATTCCGGCGTCAATTTACATCGAATTGGATATTTCTATATTTCAATACGACAAAGCATAAAGCAAAAAGCGTTCAAGCATTTCTATAATACTATTAGTGTTGGTGTTAAAGATGCTTGGAGACAGTCTGGATTTAAATTCAATAGAGAATATGGGGGCACGGCAGTGCCCCCGCCAAGTCGAGCAAAAAGCGGGACTGCTTTTCTCGAAGCATTTCAGGCCATTTTCGACCCCCTATAACTTCGTTGTGGATAAAACTAGAAGCCTGAATTTTAAGTAACCAAGCATGCATTGTATAAACACAGTATATTTCATTCAATTTGAACCAGTAGTTTAAGAATTATAACTAGTCAGTTTCTTAATTTTGTCTTCAAATTTATAATTAAATTAGTGTTTAGTGTGTAAATCAAGGAAAAACTAAAATGTTTTTCTTTTAATTTCGGTCCAGCTTTCTAGATACACTAACTGCATAAATAACTATGTAAATATATAGGATTACAAAGTTACATTTGCAGTGGATGAATCAGTGTACCTGTATATGTATAATTTAATGGAATAATACATGTAGATATGTACCTAGATATAATTATGTTCAAAGGTAACTTGTAAAATGGTCAACGGAATGTAAAATCAAGAATGGGACATGTCTTATAAAGTTGTAGCAAAATTCCGCAAAGTACAAAGCAGACTAAATTGCCCGAAAATCCGTAGCTGGTATTCAAGAAGTAGAAGGTGCCGGAAAGCAAAAAAGTAGGACTATCTACAAAAATAAATGAGATGTCATTAAAAACATAACTTGTAAAAAAACCAAGTCTCGCAACTAAGTTCTTCTACCGTAAAAAGTTGTGAGATCCGTGTAATACCAAGTCGGTTAATTTATTCAGTCCCTACTTAAGGGTCCTTTTGTCTCAAGTTATTACGTAATCAACTAACCTAACAACATCTTATAATGACCATATCAATATTAAAAATCTTTTATGTTTTAAATACATAGATTGACTTGGCAATCGCGCTAAACAATCTAATTTAATATAATATGTATTACTTGTGAGATACATTGTGTTTTCATGCGATGGCCAAGTCAATCTACTTATTTAAAACATAAAAGATTTTTAATATTGATATGGTCACTGTAAAGATGTTATTAGGTTAGCTAATTAGGTACCAATAATTACTTAATAACTTGAGGCAGAAGGATCATTAAGTAGAGACTGAATAAATTAACCGACTTGGTATGACATGGATCTCACAACTTTTTACGGTAGAAGAACTTAGTTGCGAGACTTGGTTTTTTTACAAGTTATATTTTTAATGGCATTTGTTATACAATGAAAAGAAAATATTGTCGAATCACCATATCACTTACGTACATCAAAGAACTTCATAACGCATTATCGCAGGAGCTTGAAGAAATATTCCTCTGGAAATGTGTAAAGAATCGATAGAATCAATGCCTCGTCGTTGTAGAGCTGTAATTGACAACCGAGGCTTTCCAACTAAATATTAATTTATATACTCTGCGGCAGCTGCCTTAAAACGGCTGCTACCTTGCGGGACCGCCTGTACCAGGGGGTGGTGAGATCATAGCTCTGTATGGGGCACCCATGTGAGCGGAGGCCCTAATGAACAAAAACATCGCCTCTTCAGAAGAGATCAAAGGGAGTCCATCATCGGTGTCTTATGGGGATATAGCACTATATCCTATGTTGTAGCGTTTGTATTCGTAGAATTGCGAGACTTGGTACCTTGCCTCCGTACGATTAGGGCGCGGAGTTCCTTGCGTAGGTATACCATAGGCACTGGAAATTTGGAGCTGGGTCGAGATTTTCAACCCCGCATATAGAATAAAAAATTACTACATACTTCGGCAAGAATGTATGACGAATTAATCAAGAGAGATCAACTCTATTCAACTTTTAATAAATCTATATATATTACCCATGTTTTATATTATATGTTAAGATTTTTTTGTAATATTGTAAATACTGTTTGTTGATTTTTTTACTTTTAATTTATAAATAAATTTTTAGTAACTAAGTACTTTTACGTCAGACTTACGACCACTTACGACTATTTTTAATTAGTTGTCATTAGTCAGATCAGATTTTCAAAATGGCTCATGTTGATGACGATGAGGTATTTTTTTTACTTTAATTCAATTTTAAATATTTAATTGTATGCTATTAATTTATATATTAATTGATATTGTATATTATTTTATTAGGTAAGTATTAAATTTCTTAATTTGAATAATTTAAAATGATTATCTTAATTTCAGAGTATTACATTCAATGTAGAAGAAGTGCAGAAGATAGTTAGAGATAATATAGAACTTTGCCTTGGGGGTAATGCTTATAGTCACTCTCGCACTCCTCAGTGGATCAGTATCATTACAGACAAAACGCTAGCTAGACTAAATAAATTGAATAAACCTTTCAAATATATCTGTAAGTATGTAGGTATTTTCTCTTCTTGAATACGTAAAAGAAAAAATGAAAAAAGAGTATGATCGTTGATTGGTCGTAAAAGTCAACAAAACAAAATGCTAAAAAATAATAATAGAAGACAACAGCTAAATTTCCAAAGAACCGACCATCGTAAGCATGCAAGACTTAACCGAGAACTCTGAGCTCTATTACAAACACCTACCTAGATTTGTCGGCGCGTCTATAAAATATCGGTTGGATCGAGAGTAAGCAAGAGGTTTCGTCACTCTAGCTGAGCGTCATATAGATGGTGAAGGGTTAGAATTGAAGGTAGATCGGGAAACCCCCACTCGTTTGTGCATTATACAGTTCAGTGTAGGTGTCGAGCGCTAGAGATTCCGCTGAAGTCATTCTATGAGTGCTAAAATAGTGTCCTGGTTCTGTCTATTGTGGTAGATTTTCTGGTGCAGGATAGTGTTGCTGAGAGGCTGCCCTGTGTTGCGTTGAGATGGGTGGTGTTGCTTTACGTTACACCAGTGTGTAATTGTGACGGGGGTATACTATGGTATTGTCGAACTGTAATTAATTAGTTAATTTAATTAATAATTATTGCTCTATACTGAATGTATAGTCAAAAATAGCTATTTTATATTAAGAATTTACCAGTTATTATTATTATTATTATTATTACCAGATGCATACGCATCAAGTCTCATTTGTATTTGTGTTTTATTTCTCCGACATGCAGATTTCTCCGCATTGTTTTTATCACCGCCGACGACGAAGCAAATCAACATTTAATGACCGTTTTGAAAAATTATCGAGGGAAAATTACGCTTTCATCAAAATAAAAATACGGGTAGCCCCATTTTAAGATTGCATTACAATTGCAAGGTTTGTTTGTATATGAGTAAAAATAAAATTAAGTATCTGATGTTAATTTTTCCGATGAGCCAATCTATTCTATGGCCAATCTATACGTAACTCAAACACTCACTACCTATACACTAAATATTTGCATACCGTATAATTAAAAACATTGAAGACGACGTAGCACCACTCCCATTTGAAGAGCTGCGAAATGCTACTTCCGCTAGGTATTTTAAAGTGGTAGAGCCATGCTGCAGTTATATTGTGGTTGCAGCACGAATGGGTCCACCAGCGTGAAATAGCAGCTTAATGCTGCTGTGTTTCGTATGGTGAGTGTAGAGAATCGGAGACACTTTTTACTGGAGACAAGGCATACCATCTCAGTCCTCAGGGGTGTCAACGCATCTGCATTTTGATTCGTAATCGAGGATAGATGATGGATATGAGCCACAGCAACCACTTACCATCAGGTGGACTGTGTGCTCATTTGTCATCGAAATTCTATAAAAAAAGTAAATACAACTCAAGAACCAGCACGCGTGTTCTTTCGTGAAGTGTTGTCCTTGCAATTTCGAGATTGTTCGTACCCGTGCTTACTGTTCATACTCGCTAACGTGCGCTCTATAGCTTGCTTATGTATACTATAAGGCCCGAACGTAGTATGTACCTACTCAATTTTATATACAAAAATTTCAAAATCATGAAAGTTGATATATCTAATGTTAACAGTGAGAATAACTATAACCCAGAAGAATGGCTCCGGTCTGCATACAGCAGCGGCGTACTTTTGGGACACGGCGACGGACGGAACGTGTACGGTCCGCTGGGAAAATAAATACATGTACTGTATAGTTAATGTATGGGGACTAGCATTACAATTATAAAAAAATTAAATTTTTTGACTATTAGCGTATTCTTATTCTTCACTCTTCACATTTTTTTTCTATTTTACAAACGAAGTAGCGTTCATTGGGCTTCTGTCAAAATTATTGCAAGCGATGAAGAATCCACTGCTAAGCATAGGTTGTTTACCTCGCCAAAAAAGATGCCTACGGTGCGCCGGGTTGCCTTAGTCAGAAGAACCTTTTTTCTAACGCTGGATTCTAACCTCCGGGACGTATGCTTCCAGTAAAACAAAGGATGGAGGGGTCCCGGGTGGCATTCTGGACGGAGATCCCGGTTTCACTCGTATAGGTATCGTATCGTTTTAGCCGGCATAACCTTTACGTTGCCCCGCAGCAGAAGGAATCCATGGCACAATTTCCCGGCGTTAAAAATGCTTAAAGGACCCTATGTAATAGCAAAATATATTATTAACTGAAAAACCTTTTTCTTCGTAGGGGAAATGCTTACCGCCGAAGGGGGGAAATGACAAATTAGGTCGAACGCCATTGCATACATCCGCGGCGCGACGCGCCGTAACACATGGCGCGCCTTTCTACAAGGCCTTTTATCTTCCACGCAACAGTTCCTTCAAATCCTATACGCGGACGCCACAGCACCAGGTATAATTTGCGTCACAGTTGATAGGGCTCCACTAGGAATAATAAAGTACTGTAGTACAAGGCGAGTGGCGCATAGCCGTACCCAACACTCCCTCTTCTCCCGCGACTCCACCTCGGCTTCGGAGGGCAGGGAGCAGCTGATAAGCACACATCCGGAGTGGACTCACTACGTGGCCTCCTCGGGCTTCGTCCATCCTTCACCGCGGCCAGAAATGTGTTTCCCTTTGCTCTCTACTAAACCCTCCCGCCACAAGAAGACCGGTAACGATTCGGGAGAATAGTTGATAAACCGATGTCAGACTTTTTTTTACAAGTGCAAATGCCTACACCAGCCTCGCGGGGAGAGCAACTCCTCCTTGTTCTCCTAAGTTTAAGGCGCACCAGAACACTAGACACGTCTTCATTCTTAAGCCGTATTAACTGAGCACTCAACAAACACAAAACATGAACGAATAAAAGTTTTATATAGGTAGGTATTAAAGTATTGAGAATACTAATAATCATCATCATCATTACAGCCCTTCACAAGTCCACTGTTTAACATAGGCCTCCCCCAAGGAATACAATGTAGTATAGCCTCCACGACAGTACCTATATATTAGTGTTAAGTAGAATAAGGCCCGCTCTATACATACGGAATTCCGTTTCGAGATTCCGTTTCGGAATTTCGAACGGTCGGCCACACACAAACGGAATCCCGTTTTGCCCGCAAAATATCGAACGGAAAACTACCGTACGTGTGTGGCGGGTCATAGATTTTATATGGACTTGCTGCGTTCGGGATTCCGAATCGGAATATCGAAACGGAATCTCGAAACGGAATTCCGTATGTATGTGGCCGGCCTAAGTAGCAACAGTCTAATTAAAGTTATAGAAGCATCAACACGCCTCTTCTTATTGACGTATTTCCTATATCACATCGCGACCCTGCCAGGCGGTGCGCTGCTACTTTGCACGCGCACCGTCGGGCCTACATAGAGGAAATTTTACAAAATAAATAAATAATGTAAATCATCATGGATTGATCGTTTAAAAACAATTATATTACAACGGAATGGACGCAATACCGGATGTGACGAAAATTAAATGAATATGAATAAAAGAAGAGGCCATAATAATAATTTTGCAGAAACTAAAAATTAAAAAGTATGTATAGTATCTGAAGACAACAGACAACAGCTACAAAGAGTGAGGAAAATAAATTATGTATTTTTTTTTAAATAATGACCAAATACCAAAATTATTCAAGAAGCGGCAGATTAATTTAAAAAGGAAAGAAGCGGTTGTAATCTTGAAGGCTTCGTCCAGAACCAGAAGAATGTCAAAAATGAGCCAAGAACAAAGAGGAAAATTTGAGGTAACATCGAATCAGCGTATTTTTTTGTCATTTCTTTTAAAGATTTCTTTAAAATGTTTTGACTATTATAAAAAAAGTAATGTTTTTAACATCTTGTATTTAATATAATATGGTAAAGTCGAGTTTATTAATCAGATACTCCACGATTTAATTGATATTTTAATATATTTCTTAGTGTATCTAAAAAAAAATCATAATGCAATATTAAAAATTAAGTTACCATTTTAAGCACTCATGTATGTATTAAGGCACGAGACGATTTTATATTAAATTTAATTCAGTTATTTTTTCTGCTTTATATTATTTTTATTACTGTGTCATGCAAAAATGATTGAAATGATATAGTGGATTACATTTTTATTTATTTTTTTGTCGGTGGGAGGTGTAGTGTAGCCTCCACGACAGTACCTAATAAGTAGGAACAGTCTAATTAAAGTTATAGAAGCATCAACACGCCTCTTCTTATTGACGTATTTCCTATATCACAGCCACAAAGCACGGTCCTGAGCCACCTGCATCCATCGATTCCTGCATGTCTTACCAGGTCGTCACTCCATCTAGTAGGGGGATAATAATTACAATATATGCTCGTCAATAATAAAATCCTAATGATAATGCATTATGTCAGCCCGACTACTTGCGAACTGTCAAATAGTAGTGGAAGCGGCGCCGCGTTATCCGGGGGGTCCAGCGGTTAGTACGTATGGTGCCTGCTGCGTGTACCCGCAACGGGATCAGAGGCTGGGATCTCGATAACGATCTAAAACTAGTATTTTTCGAGGAAGAAATTCCGTACAAAATACGCGAACTAAAATGTAAAATGGCATTCGACAGCAAATGCAAAATTTCGCGAAAACTACTTTTTGTAATAAAAAAGAATATATAAATCACTTAATCGCAGTAGAACCAGAGTAACCGACATAGCCCAACGGATTAGTAAGCTGAAGTGGCAGTGGGCCGGCCATATAGCTCGAAGAACCGACAACCGATGGGGAAGAAAGGTTCTCGAGTGGCAGCCTCGTACCGGTAGGCGAAGTGTAGAGCGTCCCCCCACGAGATGGAGTGACGACCTGTTAAGACATGCAGGAAGTCGATGGATGCAGGTGGCTCAGGACCGTGCTTTGTGGCATTCTTTGGGGGAGGCCTATGTTCAGCAGTGGACTTGTGAAGGGGTGTAATGAATGAATGAATGAATAAAAAAATATAAATCACTTATTTTTTGTAATAAACATAAATTATTGTACAATTTGCATGTATGTATTTATTTAAACATTCTAGATATAAAATAAAACAAGCAGTAAAGCACATTTTAGTATTTTTATTTTTGGTAAAATTTACCACAATACAAAATAATGATAGAAATAAATAAAGTAATAAAATGTATAGACAGGTCATAGAACTATGCATTGTAAAATTGGTGCTTTTAAAGCAATATAATATAATTTATAATAACATTAGGCAAAATGGCATGTGTACATTAAAAATAAAAGCATTATTTTTAACACAAAATAATATCAAGAGCAGACATTTACACTTAATCATTAACAAAAAAATAAAGGATTCATCACTTAGTGATTTGGTCTTTTTTAATTTATTTATAATGTTTACAGGACTAATAAAATGCACATGCGCAGACATAATTTAAAGCATGACTTTAATTGCAACAAATGATCCATTTAAAATTATTGATACAATCATTAGAATATAACAATGCCATGGTCCAAAAATAAAACAATAAAAGGAATAGAAAGAGGAAATTCATGTTAATATTATTTGAATACAAAACTAAATAATTAAAAAAATAGATGTTAATCATAATTCATCATCATTAAAATTATCTGTACTTTTTATTTATTATCATTAACTCGATGTAAGCTAGTTTTATTTTTTCGACTACCTCACGTATCAAATGTAACCAAAATAACAACCATTATGTATAGTGTAAAAATGAAATCATGGCTCACTGTTTATAACTAGGTAGTAATTTAGAATTAAGACTAGGTCCGTAACATTAATGTAACTTCTTTAAATGTTTATACTTCAATGTTTATTACAATATGACCAATATTCAAGTTTGTATTTTTGTAACAGGTTCTAATTAAAATCAAATACAACAAAAATATGTGATAATAAACATTATTATTAAATAAGTATTTCGAGGTTTATATTAAAAAAAGAGAAGGAATTGTGAAATACTTTTCATGAGCAATATTTAATAAAAAATACAGATCATACAAAGGCATTACCTATTTTAGGTACACACATGTGGAATTTTTGTTATTTTCATACATTGAAGTGTAAAGATTTAAGAATTCGTAATATCTCAACATGATATTTTTTGAAAAAAAAAATATCACTAAGTTACATGTATACTCTGCTGCTTCATTGTTTATATAAAATACTTGGGGACAACTTTATAGTTAATACTGCTATTGTAAGATGCAGCAATTAATTAAACTATTATATTATTTCTATTTCCTCTGACTTCTGCATATAATTGTTGATAGACAGAAACTAACCGCAGTGTTCAAAGGTACTGGTGTGATGTTATTGTGATGTTTATATTACTATTTAGGTCGGTTCGTCAGTTAAAACACAAATAACTAAATAAAAAGTTTCTTAAAATTAATCACGTGTTTTAAAACTCAAGCTGTGCTGTAAATGTATTAAAGCTAACAAATGTGCATTTTCTTCTTAAACCGTGCCTGACTGGGAGTTAAAATTTCATATGAGCATTCCACCAATTACATTTACAACAATATTTCTCCTGTCTCAACCCGCACACCTAATAACTTAGTTATATACAGTAATGCTCTATAAAATACAACCTACTACTATGACTACAATAAAACGATTTGTCGCTTAAATGTTATTATTATTATGACAGATAATTCCTCTTATTTACAAATTCGCTATACAATAATTGTTAAAATTACTAAAAAGTAACATTGTACTTGTAACTTACCTACCCTTCTTTTAAATGTTCTAATTTCATAAAATTAAAAATTCCATCATATGTACAAGTAAGTCGAGACTTAACTGATCACAAGTAAAGAAATTTAAGAACATAATGAGGAACAAATTCCATTGTACACTACACACTAACCATTCTCTTACCCAAATGGGATTGAACATATCACATTGAGGTTAAGTGTAAACACTTAAGCCGTTCGCAAACCTTAACAGTCCTACGTAAAAGGAAACTAAATATTTACACAATATATAAAAACTTATCACATAATATATTTAAAGTAAAACCAATTTAATACATAATTCAACAATTTCAAACACTGGGCAGATTCAAAATAAAAGAGATCATAATTAGATTCATGGAAACATGTCCAATTGTGGCACTGAATATGTCAAGATTTAAGGTGGGAATGAAGCGATATGTGAATAGGACTTATTGTCTTACAATAAATATGTACATATAAAAATTGTGCTCGACCCAGTATTTTTCGCATGCACATTTCTACTAAAATCAATCATATGAAGATCCATCTATATACACTTCTTGCATTAACAATGTCCCTTTAGGTTTAAGCATTTATTCTGTCAATAGAAATTTAAAGTCTTATTCCATTATGTACTTATGTAATTATGCTATTCAATAAGTAAAGCCTGCATTAAAGAGCCTTAGCTCGAAAATCAATCACATACCAACTAGAGAAGGTTGTATTAAATGAAAAAAATCACCTTAATGTACAATGCAACCCTGGTTGCAATATCTGTACTTGATTCACTTCATACCTGCTTGATAAAATAAATGTCGAAGCAAGTTTAATTGACACAGTTTAATCACACTCACATTGTCTTCATTCATTAGTTGAGGTATTTTCTGCACTTCTTGGCGCCACAAGTGCACGGTATTTTGACTTCTTCAAAGGGAAACTTATAATCATACGTGAGCTCCTCGCCTACTGTGATGCGCCGGAGCGCGAAGATAAGAATGTGCTTGTGTCCATGGATATCCACAACTCGGGAGTAACAATTTGGCTGAAACAAAACATAATTATTATTTATTGAATAAATATAGTTAAAATTTGAAACATAAATTTGTGTGATCTATATAATTAAGTAGATTCCTTGCTCCTCCTTGCATATCTTGTATGATATATTTTTATTATTTGTGTAAATTTTATGTGTTTTTATTACTGATGTATAATAACATATTATTTTAAGCGTTTAAAAAAGTTTTAACACTTTTATCCTACTAATAAGGTTCTAACCCCTAATTTAGTAATTTGTTTAAAGTAAACTCCTGTTATCATTCATATTTATTACGTTTTTGGCGAATTGCTTAAACCGCCACAAAAAGAAGAAAACTATTCAATTGAATGAGGATTATAAACTTACTAGATTGAAGTAAATTCCAATTTGAGCTACCAATCGATTGTACAATCACCTTGAGTATGAAACTACCTTGAGATTAAATAAAATCTGATTGATTTATAACTCGAAATCTGTCGTTAGTTTGTCTACAGTCAAGGTTCAATTACGTGTTTATAAGAAAATACTTGCTTCCATGAGTGAATCTTAAAAGTAAAGTTACAGCTCATTTACGTCCCACTACTGTCCTCCTCTAATTAAAAAAAATACACATACTCATCTATACAAATAAATTAAATTGAAGTGTCTGTTTGTAATGTGAAAATAACAGCTTTTTACTAAATGCATATGAAGTATATACGGTAATAATAACAAAAAATATTTTTTACATTTTTTGTCTGTCTGTCTGTCTATCGCTCTATCTGTTTATGCCGGCTAATCTCCGAAATGACTGGACCAATTTTGACCTGACTTTCACTAGCATATAGCTGATAAGGAGTAACTTAGGTTACTTTTATTTTAAATAAAGAATTAGCGTTCCGCGCAAAAAAAATTAAAACCACTGAAATCCAATCGCAATAAATAAATGCGGACGAAGTTGCAGGGAACAGCTAGTTACATTATAAATGTGTATGTTTATTTGCATATTTGTGCTTTAATAACACTTGACTGGCTGGGCAGATTCTAAATTCTAAATTATATTAGAATCTTTGTCTATTTTATGACATAGTAGTGTCATATGTTGTGTTAGTACAAGTATTCTATATATAAAGTTATTACAAGTATTGTAAGTACTATTCGTAACAACACTACTCCTAAGTTTAATTTACACCCAGAAAAGTATAAGTAACAAACTTGTATTATATATAACTGACACAAAACAATATTTCCAAAGGTGTTTTGAATTTCGTCGTTTTTGTGTGTATAGTTCTACTTTACTGTATATGTGCAGAGAGCTCCTACTTTACTGTATATTTACAAGCTCTCCTACCAAAAGAGGCAAATCTCAAAGTTTAAAGATTTTTTTAAAACACAACTTTTTTTTAATCTTTTGCAATTCCGTCTTCATCCTAATGATAGTTTCAGTTTCCATCCATTATAATCTGAGCATCTTCAAGGCAAGAGCAAATAGACTTTTGTTACGGAATGATAGTGCGATTTAACATCTAGGACCATATCACCATACAACACCAGGTGAGATTGTAATCAAGCACTGGCTTATAAAACTCCAGTTCATAATCATACACTACAGAGTAAATTATTTATATAATATACTATTTGCTGTGTGGTGGCGGCGTAAAAGAATCCGTCACCCAATTGGTTCTGTTGGTTTTGTGAGAGGGAAACGCCAGAAAGAGCTTATGGTTACCGATTGATGGGAGATGTAAAATAAGCAAACTGAAGACGGGTAGCAGCGATATAGGCGCCTAACAAGCGTGACCATTAAGGCAAATCTTTACAAAATGGAAGATCCATGTTCAGTGGACATTTACAAGCTGGTGAAGAATACAGTGTAACCTTGATATAACAAGCCTCAATATAACTAATTGCTCGATTTAACGAATTCTTCGAAATCCCCTAGAACTGCCCGTAAGAGCTAATGCAAAATATACCTCTACATTACGAATACATTTATCAAAATCCTCTTTATAACGTAATTTTATCATTGCGTAATAGAGGTAAAATTACCTCTAATTAACGAATTTTTTCAACTTAGAACCTTGACATAATATATACTATTAATTATTCCTCTTAATTCCACAATAAATGATGTCTTGAGAGGTTCAGACATGTTTAAATTCTTAGTAAGACAGTCAATGTTATTTGATAATGTAATGTCGAGGTTAATAAACAAGTTGTCATACCTTGTTAAAACGAATCATAGTCCCACCTAACCTCTATATAACAAAATCGCATTATAACGAATTACTTGGTATAACATATATTTTCTAATTCCCTTCAGTTTCATTATATCGAGGTTGCAATATATAATATATTTTATTTCTTTGTTTACCTTTTTGCTACGAGATAATAGTATATTTGGGTATAAATGTTTAATAGGTGATGGGCCTCTTTTTCTGCCTTGAAGCATAATTGAACATACATACACAATACAATTAATTGAAAGAGTAGATTTGCTTGTCAAGCAATAATTGCTCAGACTCCAGATAGGGTTAAACTTGTGATGCCTGGAGTGTAACATACCTATAGAGTACACTCCAGGCATCACTAACTTCTGTGACCAGATTTGATTTTTCACAATGTCATAAAGGAAATAACTTACATCGCAAGAGTGGTTGATGAATCGGGCAGCATTGCCCTTCAGGGTTGCGTCTACAACGAGGTTGTCGTCGATGCGGAACATATAACATCCGCCAACTCCGCGCCGTCCGCTCATAGCCTCATAGCGTTTTTCGCGTTGATCCGCTAATACCGCACGGATCACCTCGCCGGCGTATTCTATCACCATGTCTCCTAAGAAAGTATTTTATAATAAATAAAGAATAATTATTTTGTAAATAAGTATACTTACATGCTATATATTATGTTACACTGCTATGCATGAGTCTCTTTTTATTTTTAAGAGGGCTACAATTAGTCTGCCACAATTCTTCAGTACAGTAGTTGGCAGACTTAACATGCTTTTTTTTATAGTATAAGGGTGACAAATGAGCACACAGTCCACTTGATGGTAAGTGGTTCCTGTGGCCCATAGACATCTACGAGGGGTGATCCAAAAGTAATGATAATCGGTTACTTCAGGTCCGCATAAAAATCCAAAAAAAATATTTTTTGCTTGCTTATATACTCACTACGTCAGCCTAAAAAAATCATATAAATAGATCACGATTTCCGGGAGATACATTCATTTGAATACGAACTGTCAAAGAGATAACATCAACATGGAGAAAAACGAAATTAGAGCTGTCATCAAGTACCTCTGTTTGAAAAAAATGTCTTCAAAAGACATACACAGTGACTTAGTGGAAACATTGGGGGACTCTGCTCTTCCATATTCTACAGTTGCACGCTGGGCTAAGGAGTTTAAACTGGGCAGAACATCCACTGAAGATGAACATCGCGAAGGACGCTCATCCACGTCCCTCACTGACGACAACGTGAAAAAAGTCGAAGATGTTGTGTTGGCAGATCGAAGAGTGACCATCAGGCATGTAGCTGAGGTCACAGGGATCTCATATGGCAGCGTTCAAATAATCCTTGCGAACGAGTTGCATATGAAAAAGGTCTCTGCGCGTTGGGTACCCAGAATGTTAACTGACGAGCAAAAGAAAGATCGAGTAGACATTTCGAGGGTCAATCTCGAAAAGTTCCAAGCAGATCAAGAAAATTTTTTGTTCCGTTTTGTGACTATGGACGAGACCTGGATCCACCATTTTGATCCTGAAACGAAACAACAATTGATGACTTGGAAGCGAGCCTCTCACCGACGCCAAAGAAATTCAAAGTTTCATGTTCGGCGGGAAAGGTTATGGCATCTGTTTTTTGGGACGCTCAAGGCATAATTATTTATTTATTTATTTATTTATTTATTTAGAAAACCAACAGCTCTTATGAATATACAATGTTAATAATTTATAAATGATTATAACAGCCAATTATAGGTTTCCCTGTATAAATCTTAAATGGTATCTCCTACTCTTAATACATATCAAATAAGAACAAGGTGAAACTAGTAAACTATGACTAAGAGGTATGCGCGTGCGCACGCGCGCGCACGCACGCATGTGTGTGCGTGTGTGTGAGTGTGTGTGTGTGTGTGTGTGTGTGTGTGTGTGTGTGTGTGAAAGAGTGTGTGTGTGAGTATGTGTGTGTGTGTGTGTGTGTGTGTGAGTGTGTGTGTGTGTGTGTGTGTGTGTGTGTGTGTGTGTGTGTGTTCGTGTAGGTATGGGTCTATAGATATATAAATAAATGTTTTATCATACGTATTATTTATAATATATCAATATAAAAAAAAATAAACAACATATGAAATGATATACTTTAATGTTATAATAATAGGTATGCAAATAGATAAGTTATTTACCGTAAAAGCTTGAGAACTTCTTGTTTGAATTTATCTTTGGACATGTAAAATATATCTAAGTTCGAGAATTTTTTATTGTATATTGAGCAAATCCGAGTCAAGGGTGAGTTTCTTCCATAGTTAGTATTTCGAGCGTTGGGAGCGAATAAAGGGGTGTGTCTTGTACGCTTCTTGGGTACATTTACATTTATAGCAGATAGCAAAATCGGGGAATCCAGGTAGCCATTAGCTATATTAAACAAAAACATCATATCTAAGAGAGTACGTCTATTTTCTAAGGACATTACTTTATGATTTCGGCAGCCTGTAACATAATCAGAATAAGTGTGAGTTCTATAATTTAGGTGCCTTATGAGCTTTGCCTGAACACTTTCAATTTGTTGTTTGTGGGTAATATAATAGGGAGACCAAATACTACTTGCGTATTCTAAAACGCTTCGAACGTGCGCGTAGTAAATACTTTTAATACAGTTTATGTCTGAAAAAGGTTTGCAAATACGTAGAACAAATCCTAGATTTTTGTAAGCTTTTTGCACTATAGTATCCACGTGTTTAGTCATTGTCAGTTTCTTGTCAAGTGTAATGCCTAAATCACGAACTTCATCTACTTCTTCAACTGGGATGTTATTTATACTATATGTAAATTTTATAGGTTTATTTTTGCGTGTGAATGATATTTTTTGACATTTAAGTACATTTACAGTTATATTATTAACAGAGTAATAATACGACAGTTTGTTTAAAGTGCTTTGAAGGGTATGGCAGTCTTGAATATTATTAATTTTATAAAAGATTTTCTTATCATCCGCATATAAGAGGTAGTTTGTGGAGTCAAAACAGGTGAATATGTCATATATATATGCATTGTATAATAATGGACCTAGATGAGATCCCTGTGGAATCCCGGAGGGAATATTGATGAAGTTAGACCTGTAAGAACCAACTACTACGGCCTGAGATCTGTTCGAAAGATAGGATTTTACCCAACGTAACAAGTCTCCATGTATTCCCAATCTTTCTAGTTTGGCGAGCAAGATAATGTGATTCACGCGATCAAAGGCTTTTTCGAAGTCTGTATACACAACGTCAACTTGCCCCCCACGTTCCATATTATTAAGAACGAACTCAAAAAACTCCGCAAGATTAGTCACAGACGAGCGCCGCATCAAGAAACCATGCTGAGCGTGACTTACGCCTTTCGCTATTGTGCTGTAGATTTGGTCATAAACGATCTTTTCAAATATTTTACTGAAAGTATTTAAAATGGAAATTGGCCTATAATTTTCGATTTTGGATTTAGATGATTTTTTATGAATTGGTATGATATTGGCCTCTTTCCATTTAGTAGGAAAAAAAGATTCGGACAAAGATCTTTCAAAAATTATTTTTAGGGGACAAACCAGAGCTTCAGCACAGTTACGTATAAATATAGGGGGGATATTATCTGTACCAGCCGATTTATTGGGGTCAGTTGATTTTAGAAGTTTAAGTAAGTAGTTTTCATTTATATTAATTTTACTAATAACACTAGACTCACTACTTGTGGGTAAATTAAGGGTTGATAAATCTATACTTGTTTGGGATTTAGCAAACCCACTTTCAAAGAACTTATTAAATCCGTTGCATATTTCTGTTCCATTATTATAAACATCCGAACCATAGGTTATTATATGGTGGAATATTTGGAAAAGGGAGTCACTATTACGGGCTCTTACTACGCAGACCAAATAAGAAGATTACGGGAGGCCATAAAGAAAAAAAGATGCGGCAAACTGCGAGCTGGAGTGCTGTTTCACCAAGACAACGCACCGGCTCACAAAGCCGCAGTTGCGATGGCTGCCATTCAAGAAACGGGATTCGAACTGCTCGAACACCCTCCTTATTCGCCAGATCTAGCTCCTAGTGATTTCTATCTCTTTCCTCGGCTCAAGGAACGCCTCCGAGGCAAGAAATTCGAAGACGATAGCGAAGTAATTGCCGCTGTTGAAGCGTTTTGGGAGGGTCAAGACAAAGAATTTTTTTCAAAGGGAATCCTGGGTTTAGAAAAAAGATGGACTAAATGTATTGATTTGTTAGGAGACTATGTAGAAAAATAAATTATTATTTTAACTTTAATTACCGTGTTTTATTTTCATTATCATTACTTTTGGATCACCCCTCGTATATCTATCCACGTTTGCGAATCAAAATGCAGATTCGTTGGCACCCATGAGGTCTAAAAAAGGAATGCCTCGTTTTCAGTGAAAAGGGTCTCCGGTAAATTTTATACAGGTAACAAGCATATGGTAAATCAGATATTTTTTTAATATAAACATTAGTGATTTTGTTAGTGACACTATGATTTTCTCTTGTATTGTGGAGGCAGTTTACATACACAAATTTCACAATGGCAAACATCCAACACGAAACAATGAGGGCTAATAATCTTCTGCTCACCAGATGTCGCTAGTTGACACCGAGGTGAAGTTTTTTGTTACATAATGTCATTTAATTGAGAAGTTACGTTTTAAATAAAAGTTTATCAGTTTCTAGTTTATAATATTAATACACAAAATGCCTTAGTAGCATGCTATTTAATTTTTTGCACATTTTCAATTCTTTTTTTTTTTAATTATTCTACTTTTATGAATATCTGTAGTTTAGTTTAGTTACTTTTAATGTAATTAATATAACTAATAGTACAGATAGAAACATTATCCTTTATATTTTTCGAACAAATTAACTTCCCCGCTATGAAATCTGTCAAATATTACTTCATTTTTAAATGGGGCCGCCCTGGTGGCAAAAAAAGTTGTGGATGCTCTCATTATTTGTAAGCCATACAAATACTTGCGCCGTGCGGTATTTGACCCGCGATCCTCAGCGCCGCAAATCGGTTAATTGCTAAATTTACCTTCTTCAATGTCTCGTTTACAGAATAGGCCACGTCCGTGGATGTGCGACCGATATACACCGACAGAGGCCTTCGACGTCTCTTTAAGTTGTCTGAATCTCATCGCTGGCGGCAAGGTCGCTAAGCGCCTGAAAAATCATGTAACATGTTTAATTTTACAAATTGACGATTATAATAATTATTAATCACCAGTAATAGAAAGAAACACAGAATTATGTTGCCCAATTACATTTTCCCCAACATTAAAAAATAGCCTAAGCCTCCTCCACAAACTTACGAATCTAAAAATATTTTATTTGTGTTTACATTATTTTTTTGAAAAATAATCACAAGCAATACGAATAACATTATATATGTTACAGTTAATCGTCTAAACGTAGGTTTAGTTTGTTTGTAGGTTTATGTTTGACATAAATAACATTATGTTTAAATGCAATAAACTTTTTCATATTTAGTCGAATAATTTATATATGATATAAATGTTCGCAGCTTTGAACTAGTCACACCTTAACCTACTGGTTATTGTCAATCGGCTGGACCTAGCTGAAGCCATTAATAAATCCAATATATCTAAGTTAAACCTAATAGTGTGTAATTTTAATCATTGTTTATTAAATACGATAAATTTAATAGACAATGACTAAAATTATTCAAATCATGTAACTTCTTGTATTTTTCTTTAATTTTTATTCTACATTTTTAGCCAGTTCCTTTTAACAGATTCGTTGCGGCACCGATTTTCGACAACTATTAGCTGTGGCGGCGAATAAATATGTCATCAACATCGCCACAGAAGTTGATGACACGCCTATTGTGCCATCAGCCATGTGTAAAAATATTTTTCTTTTTTATGCTTTTTTCACTTGTTTAGACCTAATTAAGTTTAGTTGACATCATACATCAGTTACAAATGGAAGGATACTTGTTTTTAGTGGATAACTACGTGTTTTTCTACGTCTTTTCTTTGAAATTGAGAGTAAGTGACTTTTTTTATACAGAGATTACAACAAACATTTTGTACTGTTTTTTGTTTTATAAAAAAAATCATTTAAATAAGTAGGTACAACTAAATCACCCTGGAAAGCTTGGTTTTTATTAAATTAAATTTTCAACTAATAATAACATTTGTAAATATCAAACAATCAAGAACATTAATTTGAAAAAAAAATAAGGTTTATGATTCATTAATATTTACGAAAGTTAAATATTATTTAATGTTATACAAATGTAAAAGTAAAGTCGATCTGAAAACGTCTAATTAGTAAGAGTAGCAAAACACGTGTTTTCAAAAGGAAAAAAACGCCGGCGCTATACGGCGGATTGACAAAAGACTGTTTATTAGGGAACTTTTTTATGCATGAACAGTTTCGAACTGTTTCAAGCAAAAATAAACCATATACCATATCACAAGAGCACATGGTACTTCGTAAGTCTATTCGGCCAAATGATAGTAAGACGGCAGTTCAACCATTTTAAGCAAAATTAAACAATGAGACAAGCGCATTGTTTTTTTTTTTTACAGGAGACTTGTTTTCCAGAAATTTATTTACAACTTGAGTTTGTGAGCGATCGCAATGAGTGCTATAAATATATTTGTTACTTATTAGACTATATTTTCACAACATGATTTAAAAACCCACAAAGTAAAAAGAGTACCATGTACAAGTTAAAAAAAGGTTGTCAACTCCTAAAAATTTCAAATTTTCAAAATATCCAGAAATGAAGCTGTAGGCATGAACTACTTGCAAAATATAAAATATTTTATTCTGGATAAATCCTCCAAAAACGCAAATTTATTTTAAAAAAGACACGACTCGCGTGTCATATGCCACACACAAAAACACTGCACTGAACCGGTTAAGTTGCAGTTTATACAGCTAAGCAAAAAAAAAATTAGTCTATGCTCAAACAAAACCTAAGTTTGCTCTAGCTGGCTTATCTTAAGTTTATTATTTACATTAGCTTCAGTCATAACACCTAAAAATATTAACCTTGAGATCAGGCTTTCCCCCTCCTGTCCGCCGAACGGCGGAGGTTCTTCTCTAAATGGTGAGGCCATCCAGCTAAACATGTCGTGGTTCTGTTTCCGCGCCACGGGTCCAGTTCGAGCACTGCCCCATGGGCTCTCTTTGAAACCCTCACTCAAATCCAAATCATTGTCCCAACTGTTCAGTGGCCGACCTTGGCGAATTTTGTATTTAGTACATCTGCTAGCCTGAAAATGAATTGTAAACATTAGTAATACATTTCACTTGAACCTTCATTACTTTTAACAGATTGCAAAATAACCGTCTAAAAGTATTTCTGTGTCATAAGTTTTAATAAGAGATGAGAAAAATAAGAAAATCCTCTCTCGGCCAATTTACTTTACAGTAAAATATATCTTAAGCCTCTAAACATTTCAGTTGTTTATTATTTGGTTTTTGATTATGATATGGGCACAGCTAAAATAAACCAAAATAAGCCATTATCACTATAGACCGGCAGTGTTATAGTTGCGTACCATTTAGTACTTTGAATCTCACCAAGTGGACAGATGAAAATTCAGAAAATGTTTTTCGGGTTAATGGCGATTATTTGCTTTAATTTCAGCTAGGTTTTGTGCTCTTTATTTGGATTTACATTATTTAATAATTTTCATGACTGCGCCTCGTCATCGGTTTATGTTAAGGAAGTCATAAAATTTTCTGGAATTTTCTATAATCACCTCTTACGACTACCAAGGGACGAAATGGGACGAATGGGAAATTCAATCTACATACTAGGACCACCTTTGTACGCTACATTATATGGCGACCCATCGAACACTGACATTTCCCTTAGTCGCCTCATACGTCGTTCACGAGACAAAAACGTACCACACATATTAGAAAATACTATAGAACAAAAATTACTTACCCCTGGCAACTGCTCGATCAAATATCTTAGAGCATTATTGTTCAGCCCAAGAAGGTGAGCTCCAGATAGTGTAGATGGAAGATTATATTGTATTAGAGGTAGACCAGACTGTTTCCTTGCATTTTGTACAGCTTCGATAACTTTTGCCCAGAGATCGGACAGAGATGATGATGAATAATTGAATCCATCTTCCGATGTCACTTCGTAAATTAGTTTAGGCCCGTCGTCTTTAGGTGGATCAGGCGCTTGCTTTGGTTGTGCCGTCTTATTCTCCTGACCCTTTAATAGTTTACTCTGTTTTTTAGTCACGATTATTTCATTTTCTGTTTTCTTGTCACCAAAAGGCCTCTTCATTACTTTAGCTGGAGCATTAGGCATTTTAGCTTGTACAGTTTTATTTGTATCCTTTTCGGACAATACTTGCGGTGGCTCCACATCCATGTCTGCGTCCAAACTAGGTAATGAAGTCATTTTAGAAACTGTTTCTATAGGTTCATGACTTCTTATCTCTGTCTCTGTTGACGCTGAACTGGTATTAGCTTGATGTAATTCCTCAGATAATTGTATAGCTCGGGCGGCATCTCGTTCTTCTTTTTCCCTCTTTGCCCTCTCTAATTCCAGCATTCGTTTGGATTCTTCAATTGCCTTTTCCAGGTCACTGTCAATAGTCTCTTCCTTAATGTTTAAGTCTGGCATATCATGACTCACTGGTGCAGGTCTTTGCTTGGGAACAGGTGATGTTTTACTAACACTAGTTTTAGTTGATTTACTTTGACCATCTCTGTGTAACGGCAAGACTCTGTTCATTGGTCTCATAGACATTGGATTCACAACATTTGTGGGTATGCCTGATTGTTGAGTAGGTGGAGCTTTAGGTAAAGTTATGCTGCTACTGTTTTGTGTTGGCAGATTAATTGTACTATTTTGTTGAACGGGTATACATATCATGTTATTAGCATTGCTCTGATTTTGTAACAAGTTGGTATTTGTCTGAAGTGGGAAACTAATATCTGTTGCAGCTTTAGAAGCAATTTTTGGATCAACTAGATTGTTTTGAACAGTTATATTCACAGTATTGTTGCTAGAATTTACGTTAATATTCATAGGAGCGCTATTTGGTATCGCTTGGAAAGGAACATTAATCATTGTGCTGTTATTTTCAGTTTTTTGTTGGAAAGTTAAAGGCTCTGTTGCAATGCCCCCGACATTATTGTTACTGTTATTTGTCACAACACGTATATTGTGCTGTTGCGAAACATGTTGATTAATATTGTTCTCCATACTTGTATTATTCATTCTGTTTCTTTCTGGAAGATTAATTACTCTGTTGTTTTGTGAATTCATTTGCATATATCCTATTTGGTTACTCACAGATATTGTGTGGTTCTGTTTATCATTAGGTGCTATGTTAACTTTAGAACAGTCATTATTCGACAGATTATTAAGGGACATATTAGAGTTGGAAGGAGGTCCCATGATATTTTTAACTCGGATTGGTTCTTGTGAAAATTTAGGAGTTTCATTCACGTTTATATTAGACCTATTTATTTGATTATCCATATTATTGATGTTTTGAGAAGTATTATTTGCGTTCAAGGTACAGCTATTAATATTAATTTGAGCGTTATTGGGAACTTGGCTACTTACTATTTGATTAGAATTCGTATGACTTTGCGAATTGTTCATCATCATATGATTTGTGTTTCCTGACATAAGGTTGTTAACATTGTGGTCGTTGGAATTATTACAATTCATTAGCATTTCGTGCCCTGACATGTTATTTTGGCCGTTTGAGCCGTACATACCATTATTATTTGCAGAACTCATCATCATATTATTTGATATATTTGAATTGTTCACATTCATGCCGTGAATCATGTTTCCTGTGCCCATGTTTAGATTCGTATTTGGATTCATGTTAGAGCACATTTCAAATGTGGATTGACTGTTGGAAAACTGTGTATTGTTATTTGAACAGCTGCCACTACACGAGTTTTGAATTTCATTTTTAATATCTGGAATATTAGGCCCATGCATCAATGAACTGGTCATAGATTGATGATTTGCATTAGTGATTTGCATTGAATTATTAAGATTATTATGCATGTTCATGTTATTCATTGAATTCATGTTATTGATATGATGTTGCATGAGACTTGTATGTTCCATTGAGTTTCGGTTGTTTTGCATTTGATTCATTGCATTGACATTTTGCATGGCCATTGAACTATTTTCATGCCTATTAGCATGCATACCCTGCATGCTGCCAGAGTTATCCATTTGGTTGCCTAAACTCATTCCAGACGTGTTTGCAGACATGTGATGCATGTTCATACCATTGTCCATTTGTTGTCTATTATGCATTTGATTTGATACGTGTTGGTGCATACTCATCATATTTCCTTCAATATGTTGTCGGTTGTTTTGTATTTGCATCACATTAGACATTTGATGTTGGTGGTGATGATTGATATTATCTATTTGTCTGTTTTGTTGCATGTTCATATTTTGTTGATTTATATGCATACTGTTGTCCATCTGCTGTCTGCTAGAATTGTTAATATGATGACCCATTTGTTGCATTGAATGCATCTGTTGATTATGCATAGAATCCATTGACCTATTTGAATGCATTTGATGACTCATATTATTCATTGCATGTGACTGCATATTATCAATCATCATTCTATTATTTTGCATGTTATTCATATTAGATAAAGATTGATTCATGTGCATGTGAGTTAAGTCATTCAAATCAGATCGATTTATGTTGTGGTTATTAGATAAACTATGCATATTTATGGATTGATTCATAAGGTTAGTGCTATCAGGAGTGCTTCGATTTGAAAGTATATTTCCTTGATTGTGAGTTTGCTGTGTTCCAATAATATTATCGTGAAAAGATCGATTTGAGGCTTGATTCATAGCCTGAATTTGATTATTTTCCAATTGACGACCATGTTGGATTTGACCATTCATTATATGAATTTGATTAGATGGATGTTGGTTGTTATCAGACATCAGGGGCATATTTCCGTGATTCATGTTGGAATTGTGTAGCATCGAATTGGGCATATCGTGTTGTTGATTACTCTGATGCATACTATTGTCACTTGAATTTATGTTCATTCTATTGTTAGAAGCTTCCTGGCAAGACATGTTAATATTTTGCATAGAATTATTAGACGAATTTAGAATTTGAACTTGTCCACTATTTGATATAGAACACATTTGATTTGCGTTGTTAGTCATCGACATTGTGTTTTGGTTATTTTGCATTTGAGGTCGTATGGCATGTGGTATTATACTAATGGATGGTGAATTGCCCATATTCCCAGCTACTTGACAACTACTCAGTTTGTGTAAATTCATTTGGTTATTCATACTTTCAGAATTATGCTTATTATCGTTACTTCCAATATGTTGAAAATTCTTCTCATTCTGTGCATGTTGTTGTGAATGTGATGCCATTATTTCTTGTGAAAAGTTCAAATGTCCGCCTTCTGCTTTAGAAAGGGCATTAATTTTGCTAAGTTTTAGCGCAGTATCGGCATCAAAATTACCATTCATAACCGATGAAGGCGGGTAAATATTTCCGGCAGTAATTTGTATGACATTATTTGATGTTGAATGAGATGAAGAATGGTGACTAACATTTAAGTTTGATTCAAATTGATGGGCATGTAAGGTACTAGAAGACATGCTATTTCCATTATTTGATATTGACATCATACAGTTTTGATTAATTTTATCCGGATCAGCATGCGACATTTGTCGATTATTAATATTATTCTGAATGTTCATGGAAGAGTTGTTTGTCGTGCTATTAGCCTTTTGCAATTCCGTCTTGTTATCTGTATTATTTTGATTTAATCGCCAAGGTGTTGGGGATTTTATACTCTGAGTAACACTTATCGTAGGTAAGCTACAATTAGAATTTTCTTGAGCACTTCCACTAATTTCGATGACATGTGAGTTTTCGATCTTCATGTTATTTTTACTGTTCGATGGAGCTATTGAACTTGACACTATTGGTTGTGACAACGGTATTGATTGCATCGAAAACGACAACATTGAATTAGGTATGGATTGAGATATTGCCATTAAAGGTTGACCCGTAGAAGATACCAATGTTACATTAGGGGACATTGATAAATTATTTAATTTGGACATATTAGGTTTCTGCATACCCTGTGTAGAATTTGATAATGACATGCTGTGTATTTGAGACGTAATAGGATTGATATTCTGCCTTCCTGTCATTAAGTTTCCAGGACCAGATTGTGAGCCAACTGTCAATGGAATGGGACTCATCTGAATTACTTTCGGAGTTTGTCGATTACTATTGTTATTTGATTGTTTGTCTGGTAAAGGTTGTAGTGTTAAGTTCGGTACAGTGGTTTTCACTGACTTCAGTGTTTGAGGTGTTGATTGGACAGTTTGTGCTGTAACCACATTTGGTGTAGAGGAGGCAGCTTGTGTAGATACACTTTCGCCGACATTATTTACGACAACATAACCTGTTGGTACTTCCACGATAGGTTCTATTTTACTTGCTTGAAAAACTTGTGTTGTAGTAGCAGAAAAACTACTATTTTGAGCAAGTACACCTTGCATTGCAGTGGACACAAATTGCTGTGATGACATAACTGTATTCTGTACAATTGTTTCCAAGCCGTAATATACGGGCTGCATTGTTGTTAGATACATACAACCTGATGGATCAGTAACCATTTCCAAAGTAGGTGTAGAACCAAGTAATACTTGGTCGTTGCAAAATTGTGGTAATAATGTTCCTTGAGGCAATATTGTCGCTCCTTGAGATTGTAATGCTCCGTTTGGAATAATAGTCGTCTGTCCATTTCCAATACCACTTTGAGATACTACTGTAGCACCAGCAGTTTGTAAAGTGCTATTTGGTATAAGCGTAGCAGTTTGCGATGTTATTGTACCAGGTGCAAGGCCCTGAATGGTCCCTTGTGGTATAATGGTAGCTCCATTCTGTGTGTGGATTGCCTGAGGCAATATAGTAGGGCCATTAGGTCCTTGAGAAATTATACCTTGAGCTTGTATTGTACCTTGAGGCAAAATTGTTGCTCCTTGTTGTATTGCTTGTGGTAAAATTCCCACGTTACCTTGTGACAGTAATACTGGAATGCCTCCACTTGGTACAGCCACTAAACCACCGGATTCCGTTTGCTGTATTTGAAATGTTTGTGGTACAAGACCACTTTGTGATATGAATTGTGTGGGACCTGTTTTAAAATCCCCTTGTGGGGCAATCGTTGCTATGTACTGCATGTTTTGGTTTTGCTGCTGAGACAATGCTTCAACATAGGCAGACATTATATTCTGATTTGCTACTGGCTGAACAATAATTGACGGTTGCCCAGCCTGATTGTTTGTTTGTAACTGTATTACTGTATTTCCAGGTCCAAGTGGCGATTGATTAATTGTAGTAAAAGTCTTTTCTAATTTAGTTTGCCTTTTGATTGTAGTTGGTTTTGGCATTGGGCGACCTCTGCCACGATTTGCCGCTTGGAAAATTGGTTTTGGTTGAACTGGCGGAGGCTGCTTTTTCGGTGACTTTTGGGGAGTCCCTGGTAGAATAATTTGCTGTTTGTTTTGTGAATTAGGCGATGAGAGTCTTTGCGCGGTCATAGCGGGAACAACAATGGTAGGATTCCCTTGTATCTGAGGCCTGATCATAGGCTGGATATTTTGTATTATTGATGTATTTGGCATTCCTTGTATTGAATTCACTGGTAAAGCAATAGATGATGCACTAGCCATATTAGGGAAATTTGTAACTTGATTTTTTCCCTGAATCATTGGCGTAATATTTCCGGATTGGTTAGAGGGAATTGTTAGCACTTGATTCGAATTAGATGATATAACTTGAATTCCTCCTGTTCCTGATAGCAATTGCGTCATGTCCGTTCCGCCTTGAATTTGTTGTATGTTTCCATTACCATTACTAGGCTTAACACAGATGTTATAAGGTAGAATTCCTGGTTGTGTGATAATTTGTGGAGTCATAATTTTTTGTCCACTTGATGTACTAGTCTTAGGTGGCAATAACATTTGTGGAGTAACAACAATTTGCGGCGAAGAGAGCACTTGTTGATTCGCAGATACTTGAACATTGGTAGTTTTACTCTGATCAAATATGACTGTGCCAGATTTCATTTGCTCAGTAATTGTCATAGTCATCTCATTACCGGAACCTGGAGACGGTGTTTCAACGATGGTACCGTTAATAGTTATTTGACGAGTGTTAATTGACGTCCTTCTTGCAGAAATTCCTTCTGCTTTAACAGAGTTCTCGCTTCCACTAACAACTCCGGCATGTATTATCATTGGCTGTGCGAATGCACCCTGGAAAGCGTTTTGTAAGGTTGTCAAAGTCCTATTTTCTGGTGATTTTGGATTTTCACTCTCACTTTCGCTAGTTGACATCATATCACAAGATGGAACGTGCCTGTCGTATGACTCTTTATTTCTGTAAGTACACTGACATCTGTCACATCTAACAAGTTGCTCCACTTGTCCAGGAGCCCCCAAACCGTCGTCTAAAGGTCTCATCACTAACTCCGGTTGTCCACTTATAGCATTACCAGCAATAGTGACTGTGTATGTGCTCTCAGTTCCACTAGCTCTATACAGAAATTGATTAGAGTGATTTCGTTGTATATTATCATTGTTTCCTGTATGATCTTCAGCACCATCGAGTTGCTGAATTGGCGTAAAATCATTTTCTTGTGGGCTATTGGGTCTAGAGCTGCAAGTACTTTCGGAGCCAGACCAATCTGCTGCTCCATCTAACTGAGAAATTGGGCTACACTGTATTTTAGTATAGAAATCTATGACGTCAGTATAGTAGCCCTCAGTCTTACCCGTTTTCTCATTAGACTTATCCTCTTTATGTCTCGGCGATGTTGGGCGATAATTGATTCCTGACGAATGTGGTGTTTCCTCGCAAATATTATTATTGGCAACATTTTCAGGTTTCATTTTCTTTTCAATATTATTTTGTTCATTTTCTTTAATAGAATCCAATGAATTCTCTGGTACTGTAATTCTTTGAACTGGACTTAATTTTCCAGTGACTGTTGAAGTTTTTCCTATTTTGCATCTCTTAATAGTTGATGATAGTAAGCTAGTATCGAATTTATTATTCCATGTCAAGCTTGTCGAACGTTGCTGCCCACGTCCAGTGGTGAGTGTTTTTAGGTTATGATTCTGCAAAAGCATTTCAGACTTACATCTCTTTAACTCTTTATTTCCTGATTCTAATCGAGCATTTAAAAGTTCATCAATGAAGTCAGTTGATCGCGAGTCAGATTTGTCATCGGACTGAGTCATTGCTCCGTAAAATTCATTCTTCAAGTCCATTGCTACAAGATCTTCATATGACATAAGTTTGGGAAAAATGTCTTGCATGGATATTCCATCTAGAAGGTCGTGGTTAAGATCTTCAAATATAGCATCTTTTACTTCTGGTGGTAAAAGATCTGCTGTATTTTGAGGCTCTTCGTCATCTTGCTGTTCCTGCTTACACACATTATCTAGTAGATATTCTAGAACTTGTTTTACAGCTAAATCTTCCAAAGTTACTGAATTGCCAAACTTAATTGGTGATTTATCATTCTTTAGCATGAGAACAGTTTTTTGTCTTGTCTCTAAACTTTCGTGCCAAGCACCAATTTCGGCAATGGCTCTTTCCACAATGTGAACATCCATTGTATGATCAACAGTTATGTTTACTCCAAAGTCATAACCAGGAAGTGGTTCAGCAAGGATTAATTTAGTCTTTATTGTATACCTCACTATCTTTGATGGTTTCTTGCATGACCAAAACAGACGAGTGCAAGAGAAATCTACTGGCATCAAGAAATCTTCATAATCAGAAACAGATGGCACTATCTTTCCAAGACTATGGACTGTTAATGAACCCATTAGAAATTGCACTTTACTTATTTCACTGTATCTTTTCTTCTTCTTATCCAACTCCACATAAACTGGTCTTGTTAATTCAAAGTCAGCATCCTTTTGTAAACTCTTTTTTGGAACATCATTACCATGTGCTGGGCAGAATACTCTTTTATCATCCATGAAAGCACAACTCTCTTTTCTAGCGCAGGCATAATGGTAAGTTTCACTACAGTTCTTAGCACAGCAGCCCACACTCGCCCCTTTCACTTCACAAGATGCACATTTAATCATTTTCCCCCTTGATATTGCAGAGTGAACATTCTGAAGAGACCCATCAATTTCTTCAAAAACTTCTGCAGACCAAAGTGCACAGTTAGCATGGATCCAGTCATTCTGGCCACAGTATAATAATCGACCCTCCATTGCAGGAGAACCATCACCAACAACTTTACATAGTACACATGTTCTTGAATCTACAATTGGATAAAATTCCAACAACTCTTCTTCTATTTTCATTCCTTCACATTCCAACTTTGGTACAATTTGATCTAATGGCCTCTCAACCGACTCTTCTGTTCTTTTCACTCCTTTGTTGTCAACCATCTCATGATCTTTTAAAGATTCACCATCTTCTTGTTCACCTTCAACTTCTAAGTTAGGCTGAAGGCAATTATTTTCACAATCAAACCAAGGGAATGTTTCTGAGAATAACTCTTTATATATTGATTTAAGATCATCATTTGACGTTCGTTCAATAACATCTTTCATATCATGGTTAAAATCTTTTAGTGAAATGTATTCATCACAGTTTACTCTCCTCTTAATATCTAACAGAGATGGTGAAACTAATCTATTAACATCATTTTCTGAACTGTCTTCATTGAGTAAGTTTGATTGCCTTATTAAAGCTGGACTAAGATCTTGTTCACTACGAGCTTGAGGGAAACTCTTAACTGGTTCATCATCATCTGAAATTGCTTCATATTTATCATCATGAATTGTTGTAGGCAACATGGTCATAGCCTTCTCTGATTTACTTTGACCTGTGAAATTTTCATGTACCTCAACACAGGAAGCACTAAATTCCGTTTTATTATTATACAGTCCAGTGGAAAAGCAAATTTCCTTGTTTTGCATAAGTGGTTCTTGCAAGTTTACAACTTTATGTGTTGCATGCGGTACATCTTCTTTTTCCATTTCTACTTCTGTGAACAATGATGAACAATGCCAAATATTTTGAGAGGAACTGTTTCCATCAAATTTATTTTGGGAGGGATTATTACGTCGTCCTCTTGAAGTGTTTCTGTACACTTTGGTCTCAGTTGTATTCTTCATAGTTTCATCTTCATTGTCAAAGTGTAATTTCCTTATAGCTTGGGGCGACATTAAACGGTAAGGTTTGTTGGGCACAGGCGTATTTTTATGTGGTGTAAGTTTTAATAAAGCGCATGCCTTCCTGTTTTTTGCAAGCTGCTTGAGCAAATGCAAAAGCCGTGCTTTTAGATGTTCCGTTAGCATTTTTCTCCAAGGTGGATCATGAGGCATACATTTACAACAAATGTATTCAATTGATGGTGGTAATGCTGAAAGAAGTTGATATCCTTCGCCAGATAAGCCTTCACAGCTTGCATGAACCCATCTACCACACCATCCGCACTCCATCATCTAAAATTAAAAGATTAAAGTATATATAGTTTTAAAAATAACAAAGAAAGGTACATTTAAAATTGTAATAATAATTTTACCTTGCTGTCAAAGTCATTATCCCTATAACAAGCCTGACAAAGAGGGCAATAGTTGCCCTTCTGTCGGAGCTTAAAGCAGGGTCTGCAAAATGGTAAGCTCCCAACAAATTTGTTAACGCGATTGCTGTCACAGCTCTTGCATTTCAAACATGCACTGCATATCTGTAAATAAGATGATTATAGTATTTTATCATAATAATTAGCCCATAAAAGTCTAGCATGGCACAGCATTATACAAAGTAACATTTTCATTATTTTCTTGTCATATATTTTATTATATTAAGAAATTTATGAATGACTAGCAACTCGCTCCGGCTTTGCCTGGGTGGGATAGATTAATGTGGCGTTATTTAGATTTAAGATCATCGAAGATCGTTAACATAATCAATTTTTCGATTTTTCGAAAAAACATCGCCAAGTTTTTCACATAAAATATGGCCTACATCATTCCGGGATTGTGAAGTTTCATATATTTTTTTATAGGCAAACGGGCATGCAGCTCATCTGATGGTAAGTGACTACTGAACAACTGCAATACCAGGGGAAATGCAGATGCGTTGCTGGATTTAAAAAAAGGAGTAGGCTCTTTTCTTGAAGGTCCCTAAGTCGTATTGGTCCGGAAAAATCGCTGGTGGTAATCGATTCCACAAGGAAGTTGTACTAGGAAGAAAACTTCTTCTAAATCCACTGTGCAGTGGTGGACCGCCAATCATCCAGATGGTATGGATGGTATCGCGCGTTTTCTCGCGATGTGCGATGATGAAATTGAGCGGTTGGAATTAGTCCGAACAATTCCTCAGAACACTCCCCATCGTAGATGCGATAAAATACGCAGAGATGCAACATCTCTACGCAGTGCCAGTGAGTCAAGCCGATCGGAAAGAACTCGGTCGTCGACGATTCGAACTCTGCACAGGAAGTGGTCAAGTGGAAGGAGCTGGCACTGAGGAGCCCCTGCCCAGAGATGGGAACAGTAGTCCATGTGGAGCCAAATCTACGCCTTGTAAAGTTGCAAGCGGTGTGCCGGCATGAAATACTTTCTCGTTATGCTGAGCCCGCCAAGCTTTTTAGAGGCCAATTTGGCTTTCTCTTCCAAGTGACCACGAAACTGCACATCACTCGATATGTGCACACCGAGGATCCCGATACTCGCTGAGGCAACAAGGGGAGTGCCATGAAACTGAGGAGATACGACAAAGGGGTTCTTTTTAGCGGTTAACGCGCAAACTTGTGTCTTCTGGGGATTGAACTGGACTAGATTTAATCGCCCCCAGTCCGAGACTTTGTTCAACAAAATCTCGACTTCAGACACAAGTTTGTTTCGGTACTCGGCGACGCCTTCCCGAGAAATATTGGCTCGGCCGGTGTATAAAGCATCACCAGTGCTGTCCTCTGCATAGCAATGAATGTTAACATTTTGCAACATATCATTGATATGCAGAAGAAACAGCATTGGTGATAGCACGCAGCCCTATGGAACACCAGCGTTAATTAAAAAGAAGGAAGCTTCGAAAGAAGCACTTTGTGCCAAACCCGATCGAAGGCCTTCACTATGTCCAACCTAACGGCTAACGCCTCCTCCTTGGACTCCACTGCCTCCGCCGGCTATCTATGAGTTAGGTAACCTAAAAGATCATCGGCTGAGCGACCTCAACTCAAACCGTACTAACGACGCAAATGGTCACTAATCATCTGATGATCCTTAAAGTACCGCATGAGCTGGCAGTTAATAATCGTTTAAAACTGGTTTCATTACAATTGGTTTAGCCATGCCTGAGATACGGACAACCAGACAAATAATCCCCTCAGCTCAAAAAAAGGCAGTTTTTCAATATTACAGACATACATTTCAATTTTATTTATATGTATAGATAGACGTATAGGTAATAACCCCTGGGAATAAGGTGATCACTACCAAGCTATTTTTAAAGGATTTTATAGTTAATTGTACAGTTTGTAAAGTTGTAGCACGAATGGGTCGGCTTGACCTGGGAAGGACCATGCTCTCAGAGAATACCAGCGTAAAATAGCAACTTAATGCTCCTGTGTTTCATATGATGAGTGTAGAGAACTGGAGACCCGTTATACTGGAAACGACTCATTCCATCTTAGTTCTCAAGGGTCAAGATGTCTATGGGCCACAGCAACCACTTACCATCAGGTGGTCTGTGTGCTCGTTTGTTATCCATATCCTATAAAAAACATACATGACTTTCAATAAGTTTTATAAATGATATTCTATTATATTAAATTAAAAAAAAATCCCATTTATATTAGTTACCACTTGCCACTAAGTGGGTATGTTATGACCGCATGGCATATTGGCTTTTATGCTGCAGTTTCTGGATTCAAATCCTGACTATAGTCAACATTATTATTACTTATTTATTATATCGCACCTCCGCTCAAATAGTGTCATAACTCAAAAACATCAAAAACCTTTTTTATTGTTTCCTTGGGTTCAGAATACTTCAAAGTTTCATATCAAAGAGTGTCTTAACTAGTGGTTTTACTATTTGTCGCTAGATGGTATTAGTGTCATTATAATGTTGACCGAAACTAATAGCATATCGAACTTAAACAGTGTCATATCATGACTTGCGCGACGTGCTCGTGTATCTAAATATTGTATAAAGTGTTGTTTGTCGATATATGACGGTATATGCGATTGATCAAAAACAAATAATCTTTAAATTTATTTAATTAAAGTGCACTGTCTCGACATAAGACAGTTTATGGGATTAAGGTGAGTAAATATTACTATACTTTTTGCAATAAAACTGATCTGTGTCTAGTTATGACGATATATGTGATTAAGTTGCGCCAAAAATCATATTACTTTTACAAAAAGTTCTCTAAGTCATGTTATGACGTTATATGTGATTAATTTGAGTTGTAAATCATATTATTTTTACAATAAAAGTGCTCTGTGTCGAGTTATAACATTACATGCAATTGGGATTATTTAAAAAAACAAAATTATTATTTAGAATAAGTGCACTGTGTATGATTTAAGACAATATACATCATTAAATAAAGCTAAAATTACTGTATTGTATCCAGTTACGATAGTGTACTTGATTAAAGTTAGTCTTAAAATAATTGGTGTCGCAATCTAATCTAACCTATATTAGGTATTGTAAAGAGGTACTTTATTATATTGTTTATGTATCTAGTTGAATAAAGATATCATGTATTCTTATTTACTAATTTAAGGTTTTTTGTCATTAGGTGGATGTAACTGTGAGTACATGCAATGTCAAGATCAAGTAAATTATTGGCTCTTTGCTTGAAGGCAAACGAACAGCATAGTCAAGAAGCAAATGAATCGATTTTCGTACCAATAAGTAATTCAGAACCACTGAAACATACCTTAAACACGGAAAATATTTTGAATTTAACTTCCACACATATAAATGATTTGCCTGAACAGTGTAATAAGGAAAACGTAGAACATAACATGCAAGATTTAACTGAGGGTGAAGAAACAGACGATTCTGTTAAAGATCCAAATTACAAAGCAACACGTAGAAAGAGTAAGAAAAATAACGTCGTTCCTCGTAGTCGATCATCGTCATCGACTAGTACTTCGAGTTCTTCATCAACTAACTCAAGTTCTTCATCATCCAGCTCAAGTTCATCCTCAACCAACTTGTCACCTTTGCCACCTACTGCAAAATCAAGTGAAAACAATCGCGACCGTCCATCAACCTCACAAGAACCTAATATAGATATAACACAAGAAACAACGCCTACACGTAAGAAACGGCGTGCTGAAGAGCAATGGAAACAAAATGTTACTAAAATGCTACGAAATTCGGGATTGCATTATCGAACAAAATCTGGACGATCTATTCCTAAAAAAAGTATGAGGGAGGGTTGCGGAGAACGTTGTAGACTGAAATGCAGTTCTTTTCTTGCCGACGAATTAAGGCTACAACTGTTTAATTCTTATTGGGCTTTGCAAAATTTAGAGAAACAGAGACAATTTATACATAAACATTTAAAACCAATAGAAGTTAAGTATCGTTATACCAAAGCACAAAAACCTCGAAAAAATAATTATGCTTTCTACTTTATGGTTGAAGGTTCAATGAAAAAGATCTGCAAAACTATGTTTAAAAATACTCTTGGCATTAATGATAGAACGATCAGAACTGTAATAGAGAAATCAATTGGTGGTTTTCTAAAAGATGATCAGAGAGGAAAACATAATAAACATTATACTATACTGTAGACGAAACTATTAAAAATGAAATCAGGGATCATATAAAACGGATACCAAAGATCGAAAGCCATTATTTGCGGGCACAAACTACACGGGAGTACATTTATGGAGGGAAGACCATTGCAGACTTACATAGGGATTATATGAACCAGTGTAAACAAGAATGTCGAAGTTATGGAAATTATGTTATGTATAGTCGCATATTTAATGGTGAATTTAATTTAGGTTTCTTCGTGCCAAAAAAAGACAGATGTGAATTATGTGTAGCTTATGAAAATTCAAATCTTGAAGATAAACTTAAACTTAAGAAAAAATTTGATGAACACATAGTAGAAAAGAACTTATCTAGGGAAGAAAAAAAGAAAGACAAAGAAGCTCTTAAAATTAACAAAAACTTAATTGTAGCAATATACGATTTACAGGCTGTTCTACAGGTACCACATGGTGATGTTTCGGTTTTTTATTACAAGAGTAAACTAAATAATTTTAATTTCACAATAAGCAAATTGAAACCAGAAGAAAAAGGAAGAAAAAGTAATCAATCGACAAACAGTAACAGTAAAGATAGTGGCCCTATTGTAAATCATAGTAATACGGATTGCTATTTTTGGCACGAGGGTGAAGGCAATCGTGGTTCCGATGAGATCGGTAGTTGCTTGCTTAAATTTATCGAAAAAGAATTGCACTGTCATACGGATAACGGGCCTATTGATATAGTCTTCTATTCAGACAACTGCTGTGGGCAGAATAAAAATAAGTACATTGTGGGATTGTATATGTATGCAGTAATGAAGTATAGTAGACTTAATTCGATTAGTCATAAATTTTTAGTAGCAGGGCACACTCAAAATGAAGGAGATTCTGTACATTCAGTTATTGAAAAACAAATAAAACGTTCATTGAAGTCGGGTCCAATTTACGTTCCAAGTCAATATGTGCAGATAATTAAAGAGGCTAAAAAATCTGGAGAGCCACTGAGAGTGAATGAGCTGTCACACAGAGATTTTATTTCTTTAAAAAGATTAATTAGTGACGTGGGTATTACGACTCTAAATAAGATTAAGATCTCTGATATAAAAATGATGATTATTGCCAAAGATAGGCCAAATATTTTAAAATACAAAACTTCTTACACAGATACCGAATGGTTTGAAAATAATTTACTATCCCGAAATAAACAATTAAGCATTCCTGACACAACCCAAGCCTATACTACCAAAATAGACATTAAGGATAATAAAAAAACTGATTTATTAACTTTGTTGCAAAACAATCACATTCCAAGTTTTTATTCTGACTTTTATAACAATTTATGAGTTGGTTATGATTACTTATGTACATTTATAAAGATATTTCCTATCTAACCATATTAATGCAGTAAAATTTTGTACTGTTAAATATTATTGTTCGCCTTATGGTTATTTCTGTTGATTTTGTTATTATTTTTATGAAAAAGGTTAAGTTATATGACTAAATATGTTAATTTTGTTACTTATTACATATAAGTTTTAATTAGTAAGTTTAATTAGTATTACAGTTTTATGTTCCTATTATAATTCTTAAGTAGAAAATATTTTTATTTCGTTAAAATGTCGTTAATTAAATAATATTTTGTAAATTATTCGTTTTTTTTATCTATATAGTGTCACAACTCCAAATTTTTTATTTATTTTTTTATTTTTTGATGATTCCAAATATACCATTTTGTAGAGCATTTAAAACCATTCTAATTTACTAAAACCAGTATTATGATAATTTTCTTAGTTTTTGAGTTATGCCCCAAAAAGTGAAAAATTAAGCTAGAGGAATTTTCAAACGTATTTTTCTCGACTTTTTGTATTTCGGACTTATGACGATATTTGAGCGGACGTGCGATATATATTATTATGTTGTTGGTTACAAAGAGTGTGCACTACATTTGCACATACATTTGTGGGAACTATGCGTTATGCGCAGTTGATAGCTTCTGATCACGTGGCCAAAAATCCGCCTGAAGGATCTCATCATCAGTTGTGTACTAAATATTCATATAATATTAAAAAGATACCTGAGGCCAGTCACTCCTGTGATCAGGTGGGGCAGGCACCAAACAACCAGCATGGTGGTGACGTGCACAGGATCGACAACGCAGTCTTGCTGCAGCACGGGAGCACACAGCACAAGCGACACAACGAGCACAAGTCCAATCTCCACTACTTGCACTACGTCCAACATCTTCTGCACACCATCCATGGTACCATTCACAGCAGCTTGAGCATACCAGCATCTAAAAGACAGTATTTAGTTATTATAGATGCAACAAATAATTTCCGTAATAACTGAATACTCTACCACGCTTAGCTAAAAATATATGTGCAATTAGTATATAATATATCATGGAGTGATGAAGAGCCAACTGTCGAAATCGAAAACCGAAAGTGTTAGCATCATTTCTGGGACACCTGAGATTTTGAGTGAGATTGACAGGTTCTACGGGCAGAGCTGTATGGGTCATAATTGGAGCCATAAGATTTTTAGCTCATTATAGAAGACCAATTGTGTGACAATAAACAAAATATTACTTCAGGTATTTATAAAAAAAAAACCGGATTATTATTTTTATTATAAATATTGGATTTTTTTGAATGCATTCCATTAAAGAATCAATTGAAAGTCAGTTGATCGATTTATTGCAGCGGTACTAGCTAAATTAGTTATATGAAAAGATTAAAAAGGCTATACAAAACTACATCTGAATTATTCAGATCAGGTTAAAAAATGACAAAATGTTGTTGACTTAAATCAAAGAGTACATGAAATTAAAGTTATATTATTTTATGAGAGAATTTTATTACATTAGATATAGTTCATTCAACATGTGTTTGTCGATGTTGTAATTTTAATTCAGTAGTCATTTGCACACAAAAAAGTTTAATCGTAACTGCTTCAAAACGTAACATCAATGTTAAATTTATTAATAAAGTAATGTGTAACAGTACTTAGATTTACCATTAACATGTAGACTTAATAATAATTAATTATATAATGTTAATGTTACACGTAAGTAATTAAAATGCTACCGTTAATGTTACCACAATTTTTAATTGTATTTCAAGCCCTGAAACAAGCAATATGTACTTGCCTTTTCACATCCAGCACTTCCACATAAGAAGCACAGCCTGGCTACAGTAAATGGAGCTGTTCCTATAAGGCCAAACCCAGTACTGCATACTTCATCGGGATCATAGCTCTCCCAGAAGTCGACGCAAATTACTTCGGGACGATTTTGTCCACATTTTTGCGATCGGCCACGCACCTGAAAAATAATTTAATACAAATAATTATATAACCATAACTGCATGTTGGTGGTGTAAAGGAATCCATTTTATTACTATTGAAAGTATTTCAATAATTGGCACAATGTTTACTATTTTCATGTTTAGTAAGTTTGTAAATATTATATTATTTTATAATCTATTCTTCATAAAAGTAGTAAATTGTTAGTATTTAATCATAGTGAAATGTGTGGTTTGCAAGATGACGTGACTAGGATTAAAAAAGGAATGCTTCGGTGGTTTGGTCACATAGAAAGAATGAACGAGGAAAGAGTGACAAAGCAAATTTATGTTTCAGAAGTGAACGGCAAAGTCGGGAAGGGACGCCCTAGACGAAGATTTATCGACCAAATCGGCGATACATTGAAAATGGGCCAGATTAGGAGTAGCCTTAACCGACGAGCGTGTATGCGTAAATATATGGATGTAAATGAGGCGAGAGAAGTGTGTCAGGATCGAAGTCCATAGACTCTGCCTACCCCTCTCGGTGACAGGCGTGAGTGTTTGTATTGTATTTATTTGTATAAAAGTAGAAATAAGGAATTGTTATTTCAGTATTTATGTTCATTGAGATTATATTATGTTATATACTATATTTTATCTTATCCCACTTTGATATGCTTACAAAATAATTACCATAAAAATATAACTTAACGAGACTTACATTTGTTATGTTTGATAACGGCTTTTGGACCGATTTCTTAGGAATAAGATCCAAAACTGTTTCATCTTCACTAGATTCCACCTTAGTTTGAGGTTTTGTTGCAACTGTGACTTCTATTTTTTTCTTCTTAGTCTCAATCTGAATTTCAGCATCACTTTCTTTTATTACAACAGTTTCTCGAACAGTTTGAAGTGACTTATTCTCTATATCAGTTTCGGATTCACAACTTGATAAATCTGGAGTTCCATTCTCCTTGTCATTGATAGGCAAGGTATTATCATCATCAGATGAAAGAGATTTATCAGGCTTATCCTTCTCCTCTTGTGTCGGGAATGTAGCAATTGGTTGCCCCAAAACAATTGATGCACTTCGACAGACATGTTTGACTCTTGGACCTTTAAGTTCCATTTTCTGCCTTTTAGGGTCTTCAGTCTGTTTTGTATCACCTTTATCTTTCTTTCGTACCTTTACCCTTGTAAGGCGACGCTTTCTATTGTTACAAAAGTCTTCATTTAATTTCTCATCTTCTTTAGATTCCTTCTCAACTTTTTCCTGAAACAATATTGTTATTATGATAATGCTACATATACATGTATATAATATATATACACAGATTGGAATAATATCTTTATACTAATTTGTTTGTTTGTTTGCTTTTTACTTTATCTATTTAGGTGTTATCCTGTAATGATGTCGTTGTGACCAGTATGAAATATGGTGTAGTCAAATTGTAATTGTGATACACAGAATGTGTTGTCTTTTATTGAAAATGACGGCTCCGTGGCGCAGTGGCTTAGCAATGAGTTGCTGCGCTGGGGGGCGCGGGTTCGAATCCCGCACGGAACAAGTATTTGTATGGCCTATAAATGATTGTTCCGGGTCTAGATGTTTGTCCTTGTGAAATTTTTGTTTGTAAACTGCCTCCACGATACAGGAGAAAATCCTAGTGTGGGGGTAACGTTTTTAAAAAGAAAAATAGAAAAAATAAAAAAAAATTATTGCTATTATTATTATATATGAATAGGATCCGAATAGGCCTATGTTGAGCAGTGGACTTGAATGAGCTGTATTGACAACTAAGATGATGTTGATGATATGAATAGAATGTCATTCCTCACAATTCAAACCCATACACTTGTTTGCATATAATATTTACATTATCAGCTTAAGGAGAAAAGATTAAATGGACCTAAAAAGGGCCTATGAGATTATCCTGTGACATTAAATCTGCTTTTATGTACAAATTGTGCAAATAAAGTTTAAAGTGAAATAAATAAATGCAGTACAAAACAATTCTAAACAAAGAAATAATCAATGTTTTACAAACCTCCTGTATTTCTACTTCTTCTGAAGGTTTCTTAGCTGACTTTATAGTACCAAAGAGTTTATTTTCATTTTCGGTTGTAGTAAGAGCACTAAACATGGGTTGCGGATTTGACGTAGTATTGCTTGAAATCCTTAGTGGATTCACTTGCGGTAAAGGCCCTGTTGGCTTAGCACTAGTTCTCATATGTGGCGGCAGCATTGCTGTAAGACCAGCTCTAATATTTGGTGGCACTTGGAAGGCTTTTAGGCACATCTTCAACCAACAAGCTGGACATCGAGTTTTATTTGTGCAACGTAGCAACTTCCATTGTTGTGATCGTACAATTGGTGGGACATGACAATTACCTGAAAACATTTTTTATTATTTAGCCACTAGATAATAATAATTATGATTAAAGCGACGGTAGCCTATTGGTTAAGGGCACCAACTAAGAAACTAAAAGATGTTGGTTTGAATTGCATGTTGGTTTAAATTAATTCCATGAATTATTCCTAGCACTAGCAGTTTTGCTTAGTTTTCTTTAGTAACAGAGGTATCTAATTTGTTTAAAATACATTTTGCAAATTTACACTTTAATACCGCTCAATGGGTATAAATGTCATGAGAAATAATAAACTGTTGTTATAATTTTAAGGAATTTGATTTATTTTATCTAAAATTCAGAAACTATACCAACATTTGATATAACAATCAACTGAATATGTTTTTAAATGTGATATACTCATAGATAATTTTCTCATCTTATAATTTTCTTTGATATAAATAGATATAAAACAGCAATACAATTTTTAATGACTAGTCTAGGGCAGTCATATCTACACAGACAAGATGACGAGCACAGCAAGGAAGTTCCTGAGCGCGAGCTGGCCGTGCGAAAAGAGAGTGTAGTGGCATCGATTGTCAAAGCGCCAGATGAAAAATTTTAAGGCATTTTTTAGTGTCCTGTCACTAAATTTGGTTAAGTTAGAACTTCTATTTTTGTCTATATATTATATATTCTGTTTTCCTATGATTGAAATAATCCATCATTGGTAAATTCACATACTATTAGTACACAACCTTTATTTTTAATGTTTAAATGGTTGCATGACATTTGTGATTGTTATGAAATCTTAGTCTACTTAATTCTATTTTTAGCACTTACATTCTAAAACCTCATTGTAAACTATACAAAAAGAAACATGTTTAATTATTATATAGAAAATACAAATGATGACAAAGACTGACCTTTAATTTAGGTAATCAACTAAATGAATAGCTAAGCTATCTGACCTGACATGAAGGTAATAAACATAATAATAAAATCATCGAAACAAAAATTTATAGACAGCTCATGGAATAAGTGTTCAATCGATGAATCACACAATTTGTTAATTTCAGTCTTAAGTATCGATTTACCACATGCATGCAAGAAACATGAAACAAAACACACACAAAAAGATTTTTTATGAACTTTTTGAGGATATGTGAAGTCTGCCAACATAAATAGAGGTATCGGTAATCTTATCGTGCCCTTATAAACGTCCCAGGAATGAGGCACTGTTGTGCTGCTTAATTTTAATAATACACAAGATACAAACCTTCTCCTTTTAAGCATTGCATGACAACAGGACCAGTTCTTTGTGACATTTTTTCTTTCTTCAACATTTTTGATATGAATTTACGACACGACTCACAGGAATATATTCCAAATTTGCGTGCCTGTTTGACAAATCTGTAGAAACGGACTGCTCCGCATACACCACATGTAACAGTTGTAGGCGGATTGGGTGCTGAAAAGAGGTTATAAAGTTAGTTAAATATTTATTTTCTTGTCATAATTTATAAAATTTGTGATTTGGCACACACTAAAACATACATGTGTATACTAAATAGTTCATAATTAATACTAAAAGCAAACAGTTGAGCGATTATCTGCACTGGCAGTTGCATGTGTTATGTGTTTTAAAAGTAAGACCTCAGTAGAGTATTTTGGGGAGCATGCGATGTGGCACAGCAAAACAAGCACACGCTTTTTTTTGCTGTGTCCTAACTAGAGTTGTATGATCCTATGGACGTTCATCTTTTATATTAATTTTTAATCTGTGGTAAATAAGTACTTTAGTCAAAAATTCATAATTATAAGGCACACTTTGATCCATTGCTTGGCAGTGAAGGTAAACAGTTTGACAAACAGGACAGATTTAGCTTCTGATGTTTTACCTGGCATTTGGTTAATTATGTTTCCATCTTTGGTTCATACATTCTGCCAAAGAGGTGCTTATGGCAAGTTTTACAATCCTTAACAACTTAATGAGATAAGTGTAGCTCACAGTTTGAAGAACTTTCTGAATCTGGTTATATGGCTGCAGAAGTGAAAGATTGTCAAACCGCAAATGACTTAGAATTGTAAACAGTGGTGTTTTGTGGCCATCATTATTTGAGTTAAGAGACTGTGTGGATGAATTTCATTTAGGAGTTATCAGGTAGATGATCAGAAGGATCTCCTGTTTCAGTTTTTCTCTGTTCCCTCTTACAACACCCACGGGACTATATGCTAGTGGATATTCTTATAGGGCCACCATTTTACTTTTTATTAATTCTCTTAAAATATACAATGATAACATTTATACTTGTGAGTTTGTGAGTTTGATTCCAGTGTCTTACGTGCATATTAATAGTTAGTAAGAATTAAAAATAATTAGTTTTTTAGTAATAGTTTAGAACAGATTATATATAGAATAACTGACTGAAAGATATATGCATAATTACAAAAATTTGTTTAAAATACATATATTTTAAGTACATAAACTGTCATCAAGCCTGTTACCCAGAAGGGTAGGCAACAACTATGGAATTCCCTTTCTCATAATCCTGGCACACCTTTCATATCTATACACCTATGCATATCTACTCATTAGTTAAGAGTACTCTTAATTTGACTTCTCTTCAATATATCATCAATTTGGTCAATTAACTTCTGTCTAGGTCATCCCTCCCTTGCCAACTCTACCACTCACTTCAGTAGCATAAATTTGCTTGGCACTCTTTTCTCATTCATTATTTCTACATGTCAAACCAACAAAGCTTTTTTTTCTTAGTCATAGTCACAACATGTTTTTGATAACTACACTTTTCTCTTAAAAATTATTGATAATACTTTAAAAAAATATTAATACTTACATGTTGGTGCCACAGTAGAAAATGGTCCATCTAAACCTGTATTAGATGGTGTTGTATTTAGCTGAAGTCTAGCTTCTCTGATGATAACCTTGCCTCTTAACAGTTGTGATGCTGTAGACTTATCCTTTTCTGGACTAGATGTAGCAGGTCTTTCCTCCTCATCACCACTTCCATTAGGACTTTCACTTTCCCAGCTTTCTTCAGACTCTGAACCACTACTTGTACTGGGTGATGTACTTGCATCAGATATATCCATAAGTTTACGCATTGCATGCCCTGTCCTTTCTTCTTTGGATTCAGTAGGTTTCAATTTATCTAAGTTTTCAACATTTGAATTCTCATCCTGTTGAAACTCTGAATCTTTTTCCAAAGAAAAGAGGTCACGTAAAGGCTTTTTACTTCCAGTATTAATAGTAGAAAATGAATTTGTAGTTTTATCTTTGAATAAATTGGAAGAGGGCAGCAGACTGTCTCTACATTTTTCATTATCATTTTTGTCAGGCTCCTCTTCATCGGGAGAATCATCATCATCATGGAGATTGTTAAAAACTAGCCTCTTTAGTTTTGGCTTTTTGAGAACTTTTCCAGAACTCAAACTACTGGATATTGTTGTTTGTTCTTCACCATCAATAAACCTCTTGTTAGGTTTAATTACCCGTGATGAGTGTGCACTTCGAACTGGTAGGACAAATTTTGCAGAATTTCCACTTTCTTTTTCTACAGGTGAAATGTTTCTGGGTGGTGGTGAAATACAACGGCTATCACTAAACTGTGAGAACTTGTTAATAGGCTTTGATAAAGGATTGAGATTCTTTCTCAAATATGCATCTTGCAACTCTATACTAGATTTTGAACTGAGATCTGTTAACTTGGCCGGTTTGAGAATACTGTTAAAGGAGGAATACTCAGTTTGTTTTAATGATGATTTCTTTTTAATTATAGACACAAGAGGGGCATGATGTTTAATGGGAACTTTTTTAAGAGGCAAGAATATATCTTCGCAGCTCTCCACAGTACCAAAAGTTACTGTCTTTTTCACAGGTTTAGGCTTATCACCTTTAGTTGGCTCCATTTTATTTTGGGATCTAGTGCGTACTGGTGATTTTGATATATCACTGCCGTTTTCTTGATTCTCTCCTTTGTTTTTCTGTATTTCATTAATCACTTTATTTTCACTGGTAGAGTTTGCATCATTTTCATTACTATTTTCTTTCTTCTCTTCTTCCTGAAATATTAATTATACCATTATTTAATTAGTTATATTAAAATGAATATTAGTATGTAATACCAAAGTAAAATATATGTTCATATTTAATGTTTACTCAAAATTAAGTATATAATAAATATATTTAAGGTGACACTTTGGTTAAGCCATCAGTGGCTAACATTTTTGCAATAACATAAATCTTTTTTAAGACCTGGCTACATTGTGGTTGTCCTGGTATCACTGACACTGCATCCAAGGCTTCTTTTTCGACAATTATAGATGTTATATGTTTTGGTTTTTTGACAACCATGTGGCATAGTGGTATGATTACAACAATATAAGTTGTTTTTCAGATCTGGCTGATCTTACTGTATTGTAAATTAAAAAGAGACAGAGAACACCTTTGATTCCACATGTGCATGTGGTATTATAATATAAATATGATTGTTTTTTAAAATAATTTATTTCATATATATCAATTCAATTAATTTTTACTTAACTTATGAAAAACGTTTCTTGGAAGTGTATAAATGAATACACTTGTGTTTAAGGGTGTGTTCCAATATACACTGCGAGTACTGCTCAGTGCTCTCACTAGTGAAAAATTAGTTCCGTTATGGACTACCAGTATACTGCCACAGTACCCTAGGAAAAATATATGACGTCATAAATCGCTGCCATCTTTGTACTGTGAGCACTAGTGCCTTCGAGGTAAGGTGCTTTCAGTACTTTAATCGAGTAATCAAAGAACAAAACAGCACCTAGAGATTTAACAGCTGCCACGAATGATTGATATTATTATTAATTAATATTGTTGTTCAAATAAACTCAGACATTAAGTTTTAAAAGCAACAACATTCAAATAATAATCTTTCTTGTTGAACAGAAAACATGTACATTATAAATATTTTCATTTGAAAACAGTGTCGAAAAATGAGGATGACAATATACTGGACTGCATTTCGTTTTAAACAGTAACCAGTATAGCAAACTAAAAAGGAACAGCTTCACAATATAATGAATTGACGTCACACCTTACAGTGGTCACAGTGTAGTTCGGAACACATCCTAAATAAATTTTTCAATGACCTATCTCTAAGCTACTCATCTGTTATTTGAGTATAAGATGGAGAACTATGTGACTGAACTCATCGGCATTTTTACTCAATGCACACGTTAAAAATTTTATTTTCATAAATAATTCTTTATAGAGATCTAACTTTTCTTATGTAAAAATATCGATAAACAATATATCGATAAAGGTTATATTGATAAAATTATTCGAGGATAGACATTTACAGCACTATAGTAATTCATCAATGTTGTGAGCACTGTTTCTCAAAACTAAATGTCATATCTTGATGTTGGTAGAGTAACTTGGCATAATTTCATGCAATTATTTTTACTATGGAAGTCCCGCCTCTTAAACGTAGTGATTATATTCTCTTTGATACCTACAATACACATACAAGCGTGGTAGTTCAGTTGAATTCCCAAAAATGTCATCCACCAAATAATTGGTAGCAATCAAAATAAGAGTGCTCACACTGCATTGGGTATCCACATCATGTATCATAAGGATACCAAAAGCATAATCGAATAAATATTTGTCAATACTTAAATAGTCATAACAGAAATTCAAAACAATATTGCTATAAACTAAAAATCTTTTTCTTTCATCAGACAATAAAAGCCCACAGCTGGATATAATAAATGTAATAACAGCTGGTTTATAATAATTAAAAAAAAAAGCAAAAAAATATTTATATTAGAGGTGTCCTCTTTGAAAATACATTGATGTTTTTTTCGATGTGATGCATTGAGACTGTGCATTGATATATTCAGATGGATCGGTTAGAAACATTGATGTTTTTTCAACATAGAGTACATTTTATGACTCTACATTATAAATCTGTAGTCAACTACCTGACACCCCATTCAAAAAACTGACAATTTTGAATGATCTCCTACTCTTATATCAGCACTGTCTTGGTCCTTTTGTGTGTGTGTGTGTGTGTGTGTGTTCTCAAGGATATTAGACAGTTCGATAGATATTCTTTATTGCATGAAACACAAAGTATCTTAATCTTAAGAAGTAATATATTGTTAACAGACGTATATATTCATAGTTATTGATATTTTTTTTAAATTTAACAAAAACTTTTACTTAACAAAAGAAAATTCATATGTACGGCGGACTTAATGCCCTAAGATACTCTCTACCAGTCAATTATATGTACTATTTATATATGTATGTTGATGTGTATATATTAGTGATGCAACAAATACTACTTTTACAAATACAAATAAAAATATCAAACCTACTATTCGGCGAATACAAATACGAATATTTCGCCATGGTAATAAAAAACTAATTTATATAATGATTTTCTATTGTTCTAATAATTAAAATTTACAATAGGCAAACTTTTATTTAAAAAACATAAAATTTGTAGATTTTCTGGTTTTAACGATTTCTTCTTTCAGTCTGGATGTTCCCAGCCGTTGAAAAAAGTCTTTCCGAGGCGACTGTACATAGTTTCAGTGAAAAATATTTTGGGAGTCCCCCGTCGTTGAGGCTAAGGGCCAAAACACACGTCATACTTTTTACGCGCCAACAATGCGCGTTATCCAAGTCCGCCAGTAATTAGAGTTGTGTATTCACCAAATACGATTATTCGGTAAATGTCTACTATTCAGTGAATACGAATATTCGTATTCGTTACATCACTAGTATATATGTATGTAAATATTTGTATGTATATATGTATATGTCAGAGATATTTCTAGTTTATTTATATTATATATTAGTAAAATTTATATATATCTTAGTTATTTATTTTTTATTTTGTTTTTATTCTATACTGTTATATCTACATCAAATTTTCACCACTACATGAGTTGACTATAATAAGGAATGCAATAAAGAATAAATAAAGAGCATGTTTTGGTTTTTCTGATTTAGAAGTTATAATATTAATAGTGATAAGTATACCTTTTTACAATTGACTGATTATATAGTATATCAATAACTTTCCAAAACATCAAATCGATTCAATACATTGTATTGTAAGCATTGAGTGAATTTGATGCATCAATGTATATCGAATATTCCTAATTCATTTAAAAAGTTAAATTAATATGAGTCTGTTTCTCAATCCTCGGATAAAATCTCTAATAACTACTTAAACAATAAAATTGCTTGTCTATTTCTTATAAACTAAAACGAACACAGCACCACAGCACTGCATGCATTGCATTGCTTGATGGCAGTAATTGTAATGAAATATTTAATTATATTGCGATTACAATAGTAAAGCTATTTTAGATTATTTTTATCATAATATATATATATATAAATTAATTTAAACGGGTTGTTTTTATATTCAAATTTGAATTACAGAAAGTTAGGTTAGAAAATATTATGACTAAGCTACGTCACTATATACCAAAATGTTTAACTGTAAACAATATTAACAATAATCATATTTAAGATTCAAGACACACTGCTGAAAACACAGAACACTAAGCTGAAAACTTAATCAAAGAGAACATAAATTATTACGTTTGAACTTATTGTCTTTGTTGACATCCAACATATTGAAAATTGAATGTCAAAATTCTACATTTCTAGACGTTAATTTTCATTTGGCGCCTCGTATATATTATTAGGTATTACGTAAACATAACATTCCGTGTTTACTGTGTTAATTTTATGTAACTTACTTGCAAAATATTAATAATTTGTGATTAATTTTTACCTCTTTCTCCCCAGATAAATCATTGCTGCCCGAGCCTCGAGAGGCTGGATGGTTTTCTTGAGCAGTTTCATGGTAAACAGTGCCTGAGAGAACACTAATACGCTTTCTGTTCTGGAATTTAAGTGGTTTCCCGGGGAACCTGGATCTTCCCATTTTGATACGCACGTAAACGAAGGACACTCAGTGCGTTCCCAGCGAACGCGAAGATACTGGCGCGCATGCTCCGGCCCGCGCGCTCCGCAACGCCATTCCACTCATTTATGCAATGTGTACAACAAATTACGACGCAGTTCTCATCACATGCACACCCAAACATAAACAGCACTAACACCCTTCACATTATTTACTAAAAACATTCACTTTACACACTTTTTGCAAAGAATAACATCATCCATCATTTTAATGGTCGACTGATCGTTAACGCCGTAAGTTGTAACGCTTCCATTCAGCGGAGCGTCAGCGATAAAACAAAAGAGAATGTAGTATTTTAATGTGCTCGATTCGGTCGCACGACGCGTCGGCAGTATCTGCGTTTTGTTCCATTTGTTAACACAAACCAAATTACTGCAATGAATCGCCCATAATTTGACAAAGATGGCTGTACGACGCACTATAACAATAGCGAACACGAGTGATTAACGAGACGAGGCGCGCGAGGCCGCGGTGTGAACGACACCTGGCTCTCGGAGGCCAGTTATGGATTTTGAACCAATCGCGACGTTAATTCGGACCGGTATGAAAACAAACATGTCCGATGTCGCTCGCTACGTCTTGCTTCTATACGGCATCTATCTGCATAGACGCCTCACTCACTCATTTCACATCACATTATCAATAAAAATGCCCAAGTAATAAGATCAATCTGCGTGATCGGTAGCGCCTTTGTCAAAGAGTACTGTTCTATACAGGAAGCCTTTGTTTTGATTCTCTAGTGATTTGCACATCATCCGCTTTATGGTTAGCAGTTTTTAGTTAATTTAGTTTTACTTTTATGTAATGCTCAAATTATTTTTGCAAGTTATGGTTTATTATCTAGATTGACTTTGGCTTTTGTATTTTATTATTTGTTTATAAATGCTGTATACCTACTATATATTTACTTTACTATATGTAGTATCATTAGGAACCATAAGAGTAGGTAATATTTTGATTTTGATAATCAGTGAAATAATTCCTTATTTAGCTATATATAAGTAGCTAAATAAGGAATAAAAGCATCTATATATATATATATATATATATGCTCTTTTCTATTGTTTTCAAATATAGTTAAAAAAGTAATTATTAGGTATTGTAAAATATTTTATTACAATATTTCATTACAATAATATAATTTATATAAATAAAATATCAAATTAAAAAAAATACTGATACATTAACATTATTTTATTTGAATACATATATATTATGTAGGCAGTGTAAATCATATATAAATATAAAATACCAAAATCCACAATTACGCTCAAACTATTTTTTCATTTTATACACAAACTTAAGAACATACGCTTTAATGTCTGTGTATAAATGTATGTAGTATGTATAGTGCTCGCACCCTATTTGCAGTGAACCCCTAAATTCTGTCGGTTGATCATGCGTAAAGGGCGGAGAAGGGATGCAAAAGGGAAGAGCATCGGTGCTTGAACCCTAACTAACTACATATAGATTTGTAGAACAAGAAATATTTAAAATGCAACTCGTTATAATAACTTAATTCAGTTACGTAAACTACTAAGTTTATTAATACTGACCTCTAGCGTGAGATATGTGAACGAAAAGTTCTTTGCTGAAACGCTTCCTGAAATACATTGGGAACTGACGGCACGTCCTCGACCATAGTTGAATCGGATCGAAACAAAATGATACACTACACAATCACTTTTTTAAGTGTTTTTCACTCAAACTCCACAACTTTTTAGCCACTTTCATATCCACTTCACTAACACGGATCGTACGAGTTTTGAAAATAACAATTTGTTTGTAAATATTATGGTATGAGTAATATTTACATTACTTTCGTTGCAGTGGTGTTGGTGCGTGAAACTGTAGTAGAACGACTGGCGGACAAGCGCCGCGCATGCCGCGAGGGACACGTTGTAACTATAAAAATGGATAAACTCCCCTTCTCGGGGGCTCACCCAAATGAATCACAGTAACACACTAAACACTCTTTTAGTTTATGAAGATTTTTATTCAAAGTTGTTGCGTTATACCAAGGGGACGCGACAAGTAACGCGCAAACACCCGCACTTCGGTTCAAATTTAAGCGGTATTGAGTTATGATGCGAACTTCCGTGTACCTCTTAACAAAATATTGATCGACGCGACTCCCACCGTCTGAGGACATTTTTCAATGAGGCTGGCTTTCGGAAGCAGGATAATCGTTGTAGATCAGCCGCTTACTGTCCGTATTGTACCCAAATGTGAGAACCCTTACCGCGCAGGTAGATGTTTTTTGTGTTATTTGGGTCTCAAGCTAGAGTAGGTAAAATGATTCATATTACTTAGTAGAGCCTGAGGTCGATAAATTCCAATGAGTGTTTAATTCAGCATTAATTTGAACAAAATCTTTAAAGTTAATTAACAGTGATATTCATATTTCAATTAAGTAATTATGGAAGATGAGTTTTAAAATAATATTTTTTCATTACCATTCTATATACTAGATTAGAATTTAGGTTCAAATTATATTCTTCCTTTAGGGCTGTAAATTTCTCAAAACATAATGATGTTAAAAGAGTCAAAACCAGATCTGACTTCTGAGTCCCGTTCAAAATCGAACCCAAAACCCGCCGCCGCCATAGTAGTCACTCCATGTCGTCTCTACCTTTAAATCAACCTTTTAGCACGTAATATTTGGTACTTACCTTAAATGATAGAAATTTCTTGTAATAGTGTCATTGTCGTTTTAAGGAGCAGAAATAATGATATTTTCGTAGGTGGGTAGCACGCCTTACCTGTTTAGGAGAAGTATATTTTTTTTCTGTTGCAAACAGCAGTACCTTCTTTGTTGTGGTCCAGTATCCATCTCCAGGATCAGCGACCCAGTGAAAAGGTGTATCACTGAGTGCAACGTGACATATTATAGCACCATATTTGTCAGTAATACTTCATGCAAGACCGAATTACTCTTTATGTAGTAAGTATAAGAAGCAGCCCATGTGTGAAAGACCGTTGCATCTTTGCAAGGACTCAATGAACTACCCAAAGTTGAGGTTCGAAAAAATCTCAACGCCAAACAACTATAGATCCAGTGTACTTTAAAGATTTTTTGCGGTGAATGAACATTGCTGTCGTTGGCATACCAATAGATGCCGGGCATAAGCAGAATAAATATGCAGCAGGAAGAAAGTTGCGGTTGGAACGGGCACCTGATGATACCGTATTGCGTATTCTATAAACAATACCATTGGTAAAAACAGTAGATAAATTAAAAACCCTTTTTTTAGTAAACAATAACGTTTACTAAAAAGAGAAAAATGTAATTCACGTCACTTCCACAATTAAGACGAATCGAACGGCATCCATTTAAGATTATTGTTTTCGCCAAACCGCACATATGTTTTTATAGTTTTTTTTGCAATTATGTCCATCCACAGGTTGTCTGAAAAAAAAAATCGCTTTTAGCGATAAGACCGCCCATTGCAACACGTTTTTTTCTTCTTCTTTGTTGTTCATATTTATATATTTTTTGGCGCACAATAAAGTCAATAAATGTTTCCTATCTATCTATTTTTCTAAAACCATACATATATATTCACTCGAAACACATTACCATCTTTTTGGATTCTGGGGCAGTCGGGGAAAATAGCCTAACATGCCAAAACCCTCTGTCAAGGGCTTTCGAGACATCTAGCGAACCAGCAAGTGCATCTCAACTGATCTCAAGTTACTCGCCCCATATACGAATGGCTTAATTTAAAAGATCCCTAGTCGATCGATTTTGGCGAAACCCTTACTGGTCGCTGAGGAAGTCATTCTGTCCTAGGTATGCAATAACGTGGGCTACTGGGAATCGAACTAAGACTGTTCGCATACTGTTTTTGTATTAGCTGTTCCGATACCCGCAAAATATGCCACGGTGATAGATTTTCTTCGAAACATATTATATTGTACCTATATAGATTTAAAACATTCAATAAGTTAGATTATAAGGCGTATAGAAAGCAAAAAAATCTAAAAAATATAAATAATCGATATTCACTGTCGACAGGTGTTTACGGCTAGTTTCAAGTATAATACTTGATTTGAAACTAACACGAATAACTTTGTGGATATTCAACTCTTCTATAAGGGGCTATATGAGAAGCACCAGCTTTCAAGTAAAAAAAAGAATCATCGAGATCGGTTCACCCAGAAAAAAAGTTATCATATCATATCAAAGTTACACATAAAAAAAACATACAGTCGAATTGAGTACCTCCTCATTTTTGTAGTCGGTAGAAAATAGAACAGCCAGACGTAAACGCAAGAAGTTTTTTCGCAAGCAGTTTTTCACAAACGCAAACTGAAGGTCACATTTACATGACAACATTTTTACAAAAACTACCCACAAAACCATAAAATAAATGTGAAATAAAACTTAATAAAATGTTAAAAAATGCACGTGTGTGCTGGCTCGAGCCGGGTGGGTACCACGACCTCACAAGAATACCGGTGTGAAGTAGAAGCTCTGCTTCTGCGTTTCTTCTGGTGAGTGCAGGTGGCTGGAGGCCCAATCCCCCCCCCCCCATCAACATAGTAGCGGAATTATATCAAAGACTACCCCAGGAGGGTACCAGCACCCCTGAAGAATCCCTCGCTGAGCATCTACGTCCATGTTATTCCACTCCTGAGCACGGGCACTCAGGCTGCCCCGCGTATTCTGGTGGGGGAGAAAATTCCGCTCAAAAACATAACTGCTCGGGGCAAACTGAGCAACGATACCAAGGCGACCCCTGCCACGCTATCCGTGAATTTCTGCAACATCAGGGGACTTCACGCAAACCTAAACGCCGTCCACTACCATCTCGAGACGGCGAAGCCGGCCTTGCTCTTTCTGACCGAGACGCAGGTGTTCTCTCCGGCTGATACTTCGTATCTCTCCTGCCCGGGGTACAAATTGGAGCACTCCTTTGTGCCTCGGGCTGGAGTTTGCGTGTATGTCAGAGAGGACA